CACTGCCAGTCACCAGTCTAGCTGCCGCATTCTGGATTAGTTGTAGTTTCTGGGTATGTGTGTGTGTGTGTATAATAAAATCAAAGCTCAGCCAAGAACAAGCCTCCCAGGACAGAAGTTTCACTCTGGTATCTTAAAAGGGAGAGGCTGCCATAAAATAAGCGAGAAGCCATTTCATATGGTGCTATCCCTCCTCTTGTAAATCTGATGCAAGTGGGATGCAGTACTGCTTGTTGGGCAGAAGGAAGCCGGTGAGGAAAGCCCTGGTCCCCGATTCCCCCCCCCCCAAATTTGGCAGATATTTCATTGGCATCGGGATTGTTCATGTGCAACAAACCAGCCTTCGGTTTTAAAGTGGGCCAAAATTCTTTTTGGTGCCCTTTAAATTCAGGCAGATAACGATGGCTGACATGAGGGCAGGTGTTAAAGAGTTTCGTTTGCTGCATTACCATTCACCATGGCTACTATTTGTTTCTCATCTGCACAGCAGTACTTTGGGTTTTGTAATTAGGGTTTCAGTTTTGGGTCCCTTGGGGCTGGAGAAGGAAACTTAAGTCATTTGCCTAATGTTAAATCCACCTTCTCGCTTGGAAACCGAAGCCTAAGGCCACATTTAAATTGGCTATTAAAACACATCTCTTCTCTCAAAGAATATGAAGAACTGTAGTTTTTGCCTCACGGAGCTCTAATTCCCAGCACCCTTAACAAGCTACATTTCCCAGATTTATTTTTTTTGGGGGGGGGCAGGGCATTTTAAATGTACACAGCCTAAGGGTTTTGATACTTCTCTTCATATCTCAGACAGAAATGAAGCCTGAGCTGTTTCTAAATTCCAAGGTGTCCGTATGGTTTATAAAGAACGAGACGAGACAAGAGGGAGTAAATAAATAAGATGCATTATTTGTACAAAAAAATTATATAATCAAGTTTTTTGTTTTTGTTTTTTTTAAAGGGGAGGGAAGCCGCCTCCTGTAATATTTTCCAACCCTAATAAATGTACACTGATGCTCTCAGGTTGCAATTCATCAGACAAATTACATTTGAAATTACATTCATAGGCTGCAAGCCTCTGCACAGTTAGCAAACCTGCAAGCCCCGGCGGGACTTAGCACAAGCGCTCTGCGCAGAGGACCCTGGCCATGGTGTGCAAGGGGGGGGGGCAGAGCGGCCGAGTCAGCCTCTGAGTGCAATTCAGCACCACGAAATACAGCGGTACGATCCTTGATTTCTGTAGGAATTGATTAGCATGGCCTTGGAGAGTCCTTGCAGGCGCAGGCCCCTCTGTGATGCCCACCCACAGCGTCACATGAATGAAGGGGACAACAAAGGGATGTGTGTGTGGAGCTTCACTCTGCGCTAAATTTTTTTTTTGGGGGGGAGTCTGCTTGGGTGAGAGCCCCAGGCATGCTGGTCCACCAGGGCTTTAAGCTCCAAGATCCCTTGGAGCAGAGTTATCGCATAATGACTATAAAAGAGGTAGCTGCTGCACGGTTGCCATGTGTCCGCTTTTTCCAGGACACGTCCTCTTTTTCAGGGGTAAATTTTTGAGACAAATTGCATTTATTTGCTTTGAATGGCTGGCACGGTGGCGTCCTTTTTTTTTGCTCTTCAAAATATGGCAACCCTACCAAAGGCTGATATTACCGCTGCATTTCTTGCCAGTTATTGCTGTCGGAAAACAGCCGCCACGTCATTATTAAGTAAGCTGCTGTTTGTTCTCTTGGTAACTCCTTGGTGTTTTTTTTAATTAATTAATTAAAATTAATTAATTAATTAATTAAAAAAACACCACTCCACCCTTGCCTCCCACTTGTTGCAATTTACTCTGTATACGCTGAAACCCAGTCAATATTAAACAAGAAGTGCTGATTTAGAATTTGGGGAGGGGAGGGGATATACATTATCACTGGTACAACAAAAACACATTGCAGAGGGATAACAGAATAGCTCCTCCTCCTAAATAGGTTCATCTGAACAACATAATGTACAATTATTCATATTGCACTTTTTATACAAGAAATTCTAATAAATATACAAAAAAAAAGATACATTTACATACATAGAAAGACATTCTTCTTCTTTTTTAAATAAACGTCGCTTTGATTCATAGCAACACAATAGCTCAGAGACCCATCTGAAAGAGAGAGAGAGAGAAAACACGTATTCCCTGCCAGATACATTTTGGAATGACCCAAAACCGGAGGCAATTTAATCTGTCGGACCTGATGCTGGCCTCACCAGAGAACTTCCAGACTTGCTTTAGAATTGGCAGGTAATAAAAGCTGCAACCTGTCAATGCTACCTTCAGCCCTTGAGCTGCGTTTTATGACTCCAGCACAAGCCCTGGGCCCCCACAGAGACACCTGAGGCACAGCTAAGCCCTTTTATAGAGCCTGGTGCTCAACCAAAGGACGAGAGCCGCACAAAGCTAAAGGTTTGCAAGCCAGGCCTCCCCGCTGCCTTGCCCCACTGACGTGGGGGCTTCTTTCTAAACAGCCTTTTATTTTCCTTGGCTTGAAGAGGTGCAGCACTTTGTGGCACTAAAGCCCGGATATATAAATCCGCTAGACACCTATAGGGATGTCGGGGAATTCTGACAAAAACGGAAAAGGAAGCGGAATCTGCTGCAGCCTTGCGTGTTTGTCTGCAGTCAGCAGCAGAAACGGATCAAGCAAGTAAGATCAGTGTTCATTCACATTGCTGCCGTTTCTGAGTCTGCAAACAAGCACGCAAATTAACGGCATTTTAAACATGGCTTTGGCGTTCCCTTTATACTGAAACGAGTGTAAGGTACATTAACTTGCGGACATAATGTAGCATTTGGCAGAAACTGAACTGCAGTGGAATGGAAACGGCGCTGATTATGATGGATACAGGTCAGAATGCAAAAGGTGGTCTTCGCCCATCCCCTAGAGAGCTCAAAGCACACATAGGAGCAATGCTATTTATTGCAGAAACTTGTTCTTTCTGCTTCACTTTGGGGCCGGGGGCTGCAGGCTGCATAGGTTGCTGTGCAGGCATACTGCATAGGTTGCTGTGCAGGCATACTTTGCAGTCCCACAACCTCGCCTGCTGGCCCTCCTGCCGTTTGCAGCCTGGAAGTCATGCTCACGCAACCCACATGAGCTGTGTTGTGGGCCAATACCTACCGTATTTTTCGCTCTATAAGACGCACCAGACCACAAGACGCACCTAGTTTTTGGAGGAGGAAAACAAGAAAAAAATATTCTGAATCTCAGAAGCCAGAACAGCAAGAGGGATCGCTGCGCAGTGAAAGCAGCAATCCCTCTTGCTGTTCTGGCTTCTGGGATAGCTGTGCAGCCTGAATTCGCTCCATAAGACGCACACACATTTCCCCTTACTTTTTAGGAGGGAAAAAGTGAGTCTTATAGAGCAAAATATACGGTATTTGACAACCTGCAGGAAGCAAACCTGCCAAACCCTGACTGAGCCATTCACGGGGGAAAACATGCACCTAGATAGTCACTACAAAATAGCTGCGAGAGCCTGTTGGATGCACACTTCCGAATCTCAAAATGTGCATGAGATGCGCATGGACTTTGGTCACAGTAGTCCAGCTGAAGCCTGCTTCATACCTGACCCCGAAAACATTTATTGGTCGTATGTTTCACTAAAGTGGGTGTGTGGCTCAGGGACCACCTAGACTGATAGGTAAAGGTACCCCTGCCTGTACGGGCCAGTCTTGACAGACTCTAGGGTTGTCCGCCCATCTCACTCAAGAGGCCGGGGGCCAGCGCTGTCCGGAGACACTTCCGGGTCATGTGGCCAGCGTGACATAACTGCTCTGGCGAGCCAGAGTCGCACACGGAAACACCGTTTACCTTCCCGCTAGTAAGTGGTCCCTATTTATCTACTTGCACCCGGGAGTGCTTTCGAACTGCTAGGTTGGCAGGCGCTGGGACCGAACAACAGGAGCGCACCCCGCCGCGGGGATTCGAACCGCCGACCTTTCGATCGGCAAGCCCTAGGCGCTGAGGCTTTTACCCACAGCGCCACCCGCGTCCCTAGACTGATAGTCGTATACTTATTCAACATTTATCTTGTCCTTCCTCCGAAGGGAGTCCTTTTTGTCTGAGATCTGCTTCAAATGAGTTCCCAGTTACGGGAACGCTTACCTTTGCCAGAAGCAACACAGTCAGCATCATGCTTAAAGTAGGCCATTTGCATCAATCCATGCTGTGGCCCCATGCCGTGGATCGATGGTCCAGGTGTACTAACATGCCCATGCTGCATGGTCAGGTGCTACTGTTTTAAACATGATGCTGAACTTGTGGGAATTCCAACAGGGTGTGTTTAACCTTAATGTGCTCATAGTGAGAAATACCTGATTGTGTGCCAATTCTGGGCCAGCGGGTGGGTGGAGACTGCTGCGTTGTACGAATCTCAAGTCACATTCAAGAGTTACACACTTTTGCATTTTTAACCTGTATACTTTTATTCTGTACTGTTAGCTACAGATGGCTCATGGTATTTCTTTTTCTGGACTAGGTCCCCCACTTACCTCCGTTACTATCAAATATTCTTCAATTTTTTTTTAACGCTCAGTATGCACTATTGCATCTATGCACCTGCCCAATCTAGATCCTATTTTAATCATTAACTCTCAATTATGTTCCAATTTAATTTTTATTAGCACCAGCTAAACCTGATAATTGCTTCAGGATTTTTGAACCTAGGCTCTTCCTCCAGTTTCATCTGGTCTAAAATTGATCAAGTGTCCTATTAGTATGTGAATATCATTGCACATATTCAGTATTTATTGAGAATATTTTGTGTGTGTGTGTTTTAAAAACAAGAGTCTATACAGTCGTACCTTGGTTTTTGAACAGCTTAGTTCACAAACAACTTGGAACTTGAACGTCGCAAACCTGGAAGTGGGTGTTCTGGTTTGTGAACTTTGCCTCGGAAGCTGAATGTCTGGCGTGGCTTCTGATTGGCTGCAGGACACTCCTGCAGCCAATCGGAATCCATGCCTTGGTTTCTGAACGTTTTGGAAGTTGAACGGACTTCCGGAATGCATTCTGCTTGAAAACCAAGGTACGACTGTACAGTATGTGTCAGGCGGAATACCAGGACAATGAACAGAAATCAACTGAAATGTGACAAGAGGGCAAGCCTTTGGTGCACCATTTCTTTCAAGACTCTCTTTTTGGTGACTGGGATTAACGGATATACCCTTTGCATTGCTCCCCCTGTTTTTAATGCCACGTTGAAATGGAGCTTGTGCTGATGCAGTATTTTGAGACTTGGCCTGTGCCTCCTGAGCATAAACCAAAAGCAGGGAGGCCCAGGTGTTACCGCAACAGAGAAACAGCTATACAAAACCCATGGCAGATGAATATTCAGAACAGCTGAGCACATGAACACACAACCATTTGGGAAGCTGTTGGGCTGCAGCATCCCTGCCCCAGTGGCGAGTAGCAGAATTTCCCTGCTCCCTTGCTTCCCCGTATTTCTGACTGCAATGGTACAGGGTAAATTCCTCTTTGCGCAGTGGTGGGTTGCTGTTCCTTCCCATGTCCATGTGGTGAAATGCACTACATGGGAAGCTACTCCTTTTAGCAGATGGTCATATCTATTCACCTTACGTGAGCAAGCCTTCCAGGGTCAACCGAAGACTAATCCATTCTTCAACACGACAACACCTTTTCCTTTCACTTTGCCATCCCTTCTTTTGTGCAGGGGTGAATGTCGCGTTCCACTCTTGACTCAAGGTACTGGCAATTTCGCTAGGCGTTTGCTGAGCCCAGTTGCTCAGGGTCGGTTTCCGCAGGTTCCTTCTGTCCACAAAGGGGAGCCTTGAAGTCTTCCAGGGCGTTCCATCATTCCAGGCTCTTTTCTCTCTGGTGCTCTCTTTCCTTTTGTTTTTGGTCTGCACCCTCATAACGAATTCTGTGACTTGCTGCGTTTGTCTCCTTATAGAAGGGAAACCTTGTCAAGGTCTTTACAAAGACTTCAGTTTAAGAAAGGGATTTTGAAAAAAGTGGGGGGGAAGGGGGAGGAAAAAATAAATAAATAAAATGGAAGATAAGGCCATTCCATTTCCAATTTTTCCTTTTTATGAAGAAGCCCTTCTCAGTAACAAAGCAGAGGTGGGGGGGCTGGTGGTGCCAAATTCATCAGATGGTTCTCTGCCTGCCACCTTTATGCTTTTCCACACGTCCCACAGCACCTTGATTTGAATTGCGCGAGCTGGCAGAGCTTCAGCTGCTTCACCTTCTCACAGTACCTGGTGGTATCTCTGCACTCGACTAGGAAAAAGAGAAAAGAGAGAATCATTGCATTATTGCATAAAAAGAGAGAGAGAAGAATTCATTACCCTGCATCTCATAGGTTGACTGGTTTTACAGCTTCTGTCTGCAAAGTTCCAATCTTCCTATCATTTCATTACCGTTGCAACACTTGGGGCCATTTCTTTCACAGAACTTAAGACAGAACTATTGGCCGTTTACTTCCCCCTACCCAAAAAAGCCCCATAACGTTTTTGTCTGCAATTTGGCAGGCTTAATCCAATCTGCAGGGGCTCTTGGGCTTGAACATTTCATTCACTTTGGCCAAAGGTGGAGAAAGTTATAGCTGTTTTTAGATACTCCATTATAGTGAATGGGGAACGCACAGCTTTTTTAATATATATATTCAGAACAGGTTAAAACCTAAATTCAGGTCAAACTGAAACACAGATTGAACGGGGGAGTGCATGGCACGATGCAGAAACAGATCATAATTTTTTTAAATGCACAGCTTGCAAGGTGAATCTTGGGGCCTCTCTAGAACTCCAAAACAAAGGAGCAGTGAGAAAAAAGATTATGCAAATATATATTCATATATATGAATCAGTACATATTTCAAGCTACATCTGGGATTATCCTGTGACAATGACAATGACTATAAAGAATAACCACAGAGCTTTATTTACTATAGTACAGTGGTACTTTGGGTTACATATGCTTCAGGTTACAGACTCCGCTAACCCAGAAATAATACCTCGGGTTAAGAACTTTGCTTCAGGATGAGAACAGAAATCGTGCTCCGGCGGTGTGGCAGCAGCAGGAGGCCCCATTAGCTAAAGTGGTGCTTCAGGTTAATGGACCTCCGGAACGAATTAAGTACTTAACCCGAGGTAACACTGTAATGTAATTGTGGTTTACATGCAACTGTTCTGGAAGCTAGTCTTTCATGATGTTCTGCCGGGTAGTGATGAGAACTTTATCATATATAATCTGATTAGAATCAGCAGTGTAGTGAAATTCATGCACAACCAGCTATGACCACCTGCAGAGGACGACATGTGAACCAGTCCTCAGAACGTGCATTTTCAGACAGCGGCTTTCCCCAGCGACTGTAGTGCTAAGTTAGAAAGACGTACTATTTTCACAGGGAGTGATGTTGCAACGCTGCCAGTTAGCCGGCCTCGGTCTCCAGGCGCAGTAGTGCTCTTGCACGGGTTTGTTGGTGCGGACACGCACACATTCTACTCGCCTCGACTGGAAGCCATAGTTCCCGCAGGTAGCCGTGCACAGAGTCCACAGACTGACCCTCCAGTGCACTCCGCAAGCATCTGTCCAGCAGTTCTGCGTGCTCAGAGGCCTTTTGGCAAACAGAAGAGATACAATACTACTGCAGAGATATTCTCAAAAACAACACCTGTACGAGCCTTTCAGGAAAGGCTGACCCTCGTCTGGCCAAGAAGGAGTCAAACCAGAGTCAGTCCCCTGTCTTGACAAATCAACCAGAAGGATGTACACTCTGCATATACACATGCACAAACACATGGAATGATTCACTACAGTATGCATAATTCTGCACAATGAAAATGTGCCTACTTGAAGGTTAGGTTTGCTTCTCCAGTGTAGTATTGCTGGGTTGGGCTTACTTGTGCTTCTAGTGGACCAAGGCAGGAGTAGCTTTTACAGGAAATAGGTTGGGCCCTCTTAGTTTTGCATACTCACCAAGTATTAACAGTCCAGAAGTGAAACTCAGCAGAGTGCTAACCCTTTTCTTGCAACAAACCATTAACCGAAAGCCAACCGTGCAAATGGTGCCCTGAAAAAATTGCTAAGCCGAAACAAAGTTGTAAGAAGAGTCACAAATGACTACAGGAGCAAAAAACCTTCAAAAGCGGCCAGCCTATTTCTTGTTCAAGATTACTCCTGCCTTCGTACAAGTAAGCCAAATTGAATGATGCCACAGTGGCAAGCAAAACAGCCCAGTTCTCTTTCCATCATTTTGCACAGTTTATTCTGACATCTGTACGACTTTGCATATTTGCTTCTGGTTTTGCAAGTCAAAGGAAAAGGCGAGGATCTGTGAAATGCGCAGGATTCTACTACTGGAATCCTGCCAATGCCCTCTGGCTTCCAGGGTTCCAGCATCCAAGCATTTCTTTCTAACAATAAGGGCTGGGCACATGCATCTGGTTGACCACTTTGAGAAAAGGATGCTGGGCCAGATTGTCCTTTGGCTTATCTAGCAGGGCTCTTGCTATGTTACTAATGCTGGCTCCGCTCTGCCCATCCTACAGGATGGGCTTTCTCCCTGTCCAGCTCCTGTCTCCTTGCTTGGGGGACAAATGTTTCCCGAACAGGGACCTGATGACTTTTCCTCCTTGAGATGCTGGCAGGTTGGTGATTTCTCCTTTCCAGCTCCGTCTGCTCTCATAGTTGTGGTGGTGAGATTCAGGAAAGGAAGGGGAGGACTGAACTTCCATCTTGGATTAGCATTTCCCTTCTCAAGCTTGCTGCTTAGGGAAGAGGATGAGCTACTCAGACTCTGATTTGCCTTGGTTTCTTTTTTAATGAGCTATAAACCAAATCCAGTAGAGTTATTTCACTCTCTTCATAAGTCCTCATTATCATGGGTAATGAAGTGACCATATTCCTCCAAGGTAACTAGATCTTGCAGGAAAGATGGGCCTTCCCTAAAAAATATAAATGATTCTGTCCCAAAATCTGTTGCAATACCACTTCCCATATGAGAGAATACATTTGCATTCCTCTGTGATAAGGGATGATGTTAGGTATATAGTTGTAGCTCACACTCCACAGGTAATAGGTGACTGGGAGTGGCTGCTGAGACCATATAATACTGGTCCTGAAAGACCTGCATTGGCTCCCAGTACATTTCCGAGCACAATTCAAAGTGTTGGTGCTGACCTTTAAAGCCCTAAATGGCCTTGGTCCAGTATACCTGAAGGAGCGTCCCCACCCCCATCGTTCAGTGCCGAGGTGGTTCCCTCCCTGCGAGAAGTGAGGTTACAGGGAACCAGGCAGAGGGCCTTCTTGGTGATAGCGCCCGCCCTGTGGAACACCCTCCCATCAGATGTCAAGGAGAGAAAAAACTACACGACTTTTAGAAGACATCTGAAGGCAGCCCTGTTTAAGGAAGCTTTTAATGTTTGGTGTTTTATTGTGTTTTTAATATTCTGTTGGAAGCTGCCCAGAGTGGCTGGGGAAACCCAGCCAGATGGGCGAGGTATAAATAATTCCTCCCCCCCCCCAACAGGAACTTTAAGTTTTAAGTTCAAAACATAAATCATGATGTCAGTTTCTGAAAATATCAGCAGGGCTTACCTTGGAAGGGAGCTGCATTGGTCGGAAGGCACAGATATCCCATCCCTGGTCCGGCAGAAAACCTGCCTGTGTTGTACAGCCAGTCGAGATCCAATGCATGGTCCATTACACTGTTAAGAAAGACAACTGGACACTTAGAACAGACATGCACTATTTATTATTATTACCAAAGAATGCAGCCTACCAATCATGTATCGAAACCTATCAAGGACTTGATAAATATTTATTTGTTGCTCGTCCAGGATTGTAAAAGAGGTGTGTGTGTTGGGGGGTTAATTCCCAAGCACCTGACACACCACAATATGTGGCTGGTATATTGAATGCAGCTCGGTGGGTCATAAATTGAGCGGGCTTCAGCAGAACGAAGATATAGCATGCAATTCTTTCGGTAATGCTAAAGGAACACTGCAAATGAGTCAGATGCTCCCTGTCTTTTGCTACAGATCTCTGGCCTGGGATATGTATGATTCAATAATTTATTGTTACATTCCAGAAGCATAGCTAGGGTGGTCTGTTTCAGCAAAACCAACAAGAGTCCTGTTGCACCAGGAAATTAATGGTAGTATGGACTTTTGTGTGCCAGAGCCCCTGAAAACCGATGCTACAGTAAACACATTAGTCTTTCAAGGTGCCTTGGTTGGTGCTATAAATTCAAGAGTTTAGGTCAAATGAAAAGTCCCCTCTCACTTTCCCATTTTGTTGGCCTGCAGCTTGAGATCCACACGGCAAATGTCACTCTATCCCATTTGCCGGATGTTTTACTAATAATTTACAGGCAACCCCTTAAAAACAAGTAACCGAAGCACGAGACAACTAATGCAAGTTCCTGGAAACGTAAAAAAAGTCGTGAATGAGAATTCATAAAGAGTTTCACGGAAGGGTTGTCCACAGATCTAAGGTAAACTCCCCTCAGTGTGGAAAAATGGGTAATGACTACAGATCTGCCTAAATGAAAATAATTAAAAAGAACTCTGCAGTGGAAATATATATCAGGCTCCTGCTCATTGCCAGATTTCATAGCCTCTTGGCCTTCTCATAGTTGATCATGAAGTTGTGATCCTAGAAGACCAACAAGGTCACATGAAGTCTTCTGTTGTTTGGTGCAGGGATGCAGAGTCAATCATCACGTCCTCGAGGTAAGGAGAAGGGAATAGGCACAGAAGCAGCCACTACCTAGGTGAAAGCTCTCTGGGCTGAGGCAAGGGCAAGCCAGATTGCTCCGTATTGGAGGTGAAAGCCGTTGTAGGCAAACCTGAGGGACCTGTGCTGTGGTGGAAAGATAGGAATGCGTGTGGGATGTGATCCATGAGAAGCAGTCAAGTACAACATTCCTTGTAATGCTAGAGAAGACATGCAGGGAAATGTTTGGTCCAGCCAGTCAAAACTTCCTGTTCCTCCTGGCTGGAGCATCCTTCCTTTGCATGTGATAGAAGGAAGGTGTAACCTTACCTGTCCACGTAATAAAAGGACAGGTCATGCAGCACACTTTCTCTTTTTGACTTCCTTCTTTGTTTGACCAGCTTTTAGCTGGGACTGCTCTGCTAGCTTCTCATCTAGCAGAAGCACTGGGATTATTCCCCCATATGGGGTAGATCCACATGTACATATCTGTAACTAAGTTTGCCTTCAGGGATCCAACTGTGAACTGATGTGAGTAAACTTTTTTATTGACTTTGAATAAGATTATGGTGTCTTTATTCTTTTAAGAGGGATTCAAGAGAATTTACCAGGAACGTACAATTCAATCTGAGACAGACTGAATTGTATAATAGTGACAGGCTCACACGAGCCTGCAACCAGCTATCTGCTGTGCAATTAAAAAGGGGAAAGTAACTCTGCTAAGTAAAGGAACTTGCTAGTGCAAGTTAGGAAGGATATTAATAAACAATATATCCTCTCCTGCCACCCTGGACATTCCCACAATGCGCAGGTTGACTTCTGTCAGATAGTCAGAGGACATGAAGCACCCCCCCCCTTGGAGATATTCCTGAATAGGCTGTAACGTCTCCATCAGCCAACTTTTATGAGTTGGCTGCAAAACTTGAGGCCTAATACCGTTCTGAGCAATCTATCTTTCTTGGATGTGGTAAAGGTAGAATAGATCCCTGAGCCACATTCTTTTTGAAGAATGTGCTTCATCAACTGCTCTATCTAGTAGGTGTACTATTGCATTTCTGACCCCAGCTCTCTTGGAGGGGTCTGGCGAGACTGGAGAGGGTAAGAATTTGGATGGAGGACCTGTAGGTTCATTCCAGACAAACACCATTGTGGATATTGTCTGGCACCCTTCGGTCTGATGTGGTCAGCTGCCGGCTAGCTGTCCTCCCACTGGAATAGCGACATTGCTGAGAGCGGTGGGGTTTGTTCTGTTGAGTGTTGCAGGGTTAGGACTATTGATTTGACTTATGCTCCTGCTCATTGCCAGATATCACCTCCAACTTGATTCCTCACCAAATACTGTGGACATTGCCTGCTTAAATGACTACCGTATTTTTCGCCCTATAGGACGCACCTTTTCCCCTCCAAAAATGAAGGGGAAATGTGTGTGCATCCTATGGGGCGAATGCAGGCTTTCGTTGAAGCCTGGAGAGCGAGAGGGGTCGGTGCGCACCGACCCCTCTCGCTCTCCAGGCTTCAGGAGAGCCCCAGTGCCAGCCCCACAAGGTTGGGGGACAGAGGGAGGCGGAACGCCGCCATCCCGCTGTCTCCCGAAGTGGTTTGGAGGCTGACGGCGGGGAGACCCCGCCGCCAGCCCAGCAAGCTCTGGGGACAGTGGGGAGGCGCAGCGCGTCTCCCTGCTGTCCCCGGACCTGATCTCAAGGAGGGCGGCGGGGAGAAGAGCGCTTCTCCCCGCTGCCAGCCCCGCAAGATCCGGGGACAGCTGGGAGGCGCAGCGCGTCTCCCTGCTGTCCCCGGACCTGATCTCAAGGAGGGCGGCGGGGAGAAGAGTGCTTCCTCCCGCTGCCTGCCCCGCAAGCGCCTGGGGGGGAAATAAATGTTTTTTTCTTTATTTCCCCCCCAAAAAACTTGATGCGTCCTATGGGCCGGTGCGTCCTATGGGGCTAAAAATACGGTATATTGTCTGGAAGTTGAATGATCGATCATGCTGTGAACACCCCAAAGGTCTAGAGTCAATCCAACCCTGAATTAAGCTACTACTTCCCAGAGAGGACACAATCCACCCAAGGGAACTTTTGACTCCCATTACTCTGAACAGCCAGCCTCCCAAACAGCATTTCAAATTCCTCAGCCCTAGGCTTCAAATCCGTAGTCTCAAATATCTCCACTGCAAACTAACACGAGTGAAACTGGAGTTACAGTGAGCGTACTTAATTCTTATGAGAAATGATTGCATGGAATTCCTGCCTTTGAGGCTGTCACGACACCTACATCAAAACTAAATGATAGGAGACAGGGTGAGGGGGGGGGGGAGGTCTGTTTGCAGAGGGGACAACGTAATCTGCTTATTTTCCCTGCACTTTGGGAAAGGTAATCGTTGAGCTTGGCCAATCGGAACCTGATGTCTCCTTGAGTGGACTGTGTGATACAATAGTGAAATGGCACTGATCCATGGCCAGTAATCTGTTCTTAATTGTAATCAGAATAATCAATTTGTAGGCCTGCCTGGGATTGGAGCCTTGTAAGTTTACACAATGCATGAGAAACTCCTCTCCCTGTTCTCTGGTTGGAGAAATATTATATCAGAAAGCCGAAAGGTCAGGTGAAACAGATGAATTCATACAACTTTTTATAATTGAGCTTGGATATGACATCATGGGGTGCTATAAACTAACAGCCATCCCTCTGGGGGAACTAGACATAAACCTTACCTGACATTCCAGGGAAAGTACAAATTAGACCATTCGCTTACAGCTTTTTAAGGAAAGATCTGATCCTTTTTAAATAAATGGCAGCATGATAAGTCAATCAATGCTGGAGGGAACATTTTCTAAAATCTACCAAAGCAGAATTTGTGTGTGTGCACGCATACACATGTTTTTAATGCAGTTGTTATCAGCTAAATGAAAGCTGATAATAAGTCTGATTTGGCCATAGGATACCTTGCAATCCTTCTTCACCCCACCAAACCGTATTCTTCAGGATGGGCTAGCATTGCCCTCATTGTGGCAGCTCAACACTGCATACTGTGTAATGGACAGTAATGTAATGTGTAATGTCTCTTAACCAGGGAATTATAAGTCCATCTGGTTCATCAGGAATTGTTGCTAGTTGACCCACAAGGCCTTTTTACCTGTCTGACATAAGACGTACTTTATTTGCTATTCTTTCAAATTGGCTTACCATGCTGTGATCATTCTCAGTAATGGGCCGGATATTGCAGATGATGCAGTCATACGGCTATTATAATTTTATCAGGATATTACTGGGTTCCTCTAAACTTAATTTCCCTGTGCAGCTAATATTTAACAACATCCATTAAAACATATGGCTTAACGCCGTCATTTTAGGGTCAACCAGGAGTGACAGCAACATGCGCTTACAATTTCCTTTAATGCTATTATGATTAATATACACCAAACTTTTTAAACACACACACACACCCATGTTAATTTTTGCCTGCACTGAAGCAATCCTGAGAGGCAGGTCACCGTGGTTTTACAGTTGGGTAACTGGGATGAAGACTTGCACAGGGCCATCTAGTAGAGAGACAGCAACCCATTTTTTTAAATGCATTCTCAACCCCTGTTTTAACTTCCTCACAATCCCAAACAAGAAGAAGAGTTTGGATTTGATATCCCGCTTATCACTACCCGAAGGAGTCTCAAAGCGGCTAACATTCTCCCTTCCCTTCCTCCACCACAACAAACACTCTGTGAGGTGAGTGGGGCTGAGAGACTTCAGAGAAGTGTGACTAGCCCAAGGTCACCCAGCAGCTGCATGTGGAGGAGCGGGGAAGCGAACCCGGTTCACCAGATTACGAGTCTACCGCTCTTAACCACTACACCACACTGGCTCCTAATGACTGGCAGCTGTGTGTACTTACCTGCCCCCAGGCAGATGTTGCCCACTCGACACATAGCTGTCTGTTGCAGCTCTGGGTGTCTACCGGGCGCTTGGAAAGTTGTGCACATGCGTCGTTTGACATGGGCATGGAGCTGCCTGCAGCTGTCAGCTTTTGACATGTCACCCGACGGGTCTGGATGCCTCCACCACAGCTTTGTGTACAATGGGACCACGACGTCACCATCCATCTAGCACAAGGAAAGGAAGAAGAATTACTGGTGGGTGAGCCACAGGAGTGTAGCAAAACGACCTGCCTTACCTTCCTTCTCAAACTGTACACTTTCAGTCAACTTGGCTTTTATCCTAAAAAGGATTCTCACCTTCTACTTCCGTGAAAGGCCAGTGAGACTCGAGAAACTCAAAAAACCTCTCTCTCTCTCTAGCAGTGAACAAGGTGGTAGGTGCTGAGTGAAGCACAACCAAAATGGGGCCAGCGAGAAACAACAGGGGAGACATAAGTAAAAAAAAGAAAAAGACGCAACTTTTTCAAACACCTGTCGAAGAATGAGAATGCCCAGGAGGTGCTGAATGCTAGCTGTCAGTTGGGGGAACAAACAGGCCTGGGAGGAATTTAATCTTCTACACCCACTCTTTATAGCTTGTTGTAAAAGGTAAAGGACCCCTGGACGGTTAAGTCCAGTCAAAGGCGACTATGGGGTTGCAGTGCTCATCTCTGGTATTTGTCCACAGACAGCTTTCCGGGTCATGTGGCCAGCAGGACTAAACTGCTTCTGGTGCAACGTTACACAGTGACGGAAACCAGAGCAGTGCACGAAAATGCCGTTTACCTTCCTGCCGCAGCGGTACCTATTTATCTACTGGCACTGGTGTGCTTTCGAACAGCTAGGTAGGCAGGAGCTGGGACAGAGCAATAGGAGCTCACCCCGTTACGGGGATTTGAACTGCCGACCTTCCAATTGGCAAGCCCAAGAGGCTCAGTGGTTTAGACCACAGTGCTACCCGTGTCCCTGGCTTGCTGTATCCAGGAGGAGGCACGTGGCTGGCACCCTGAATAGGAGCATGCCTATTAGGTGTGATGACGACGACACACTGCAACCTTTTGTTGCAGGTAGGGGTGGGGAGAATTTCAGTTTGGTTCCCATTTCAATGTGAACCCTCCTCATTCGCCCTCCCTAAAACAACGTGAGAACCGAAACTCAGCCATCTCTCAAAACTCACACTTCTCCGAATTTTGTGATGCTGTTCTCCAACCAAAAAAAATAATGTAAAGAAGTGCATATATTATGAGCAAAGTGGGCATAAAAATGCATATTTCGGCAGAAATAACGTACAAATACACATGTTAGGGGAAATTGCTTCCAAATATAGAAAAAAGCATATAAAAAGTTTAAGTTAGGAGAAATGTGAATTTAAATGGTAGAATGTTCACCAGGACTTGTCAAGTGACACAGATCTCTGGCAAACTTATCTTAAGACTGTGAAAACGAGCAACTGAAATGTACAGATTCATCCATCTCTATTTCATGCCTAGGATGCATTGCTAATTCTTAAGATTCTATGACACTGGCAGTCCAAGAATATACATTATAATGTTACTTGAACTGTTTCTTTTTTCCCTTTGTGGGGTGGTGCTGTGATTTGACAATATAATTTAGGCTGCAGTCCTAACTAGGAAGCAAGGACCATTGAATAAAATGCAAAAATAGAGAGGAATTTAGAAAACCATTAGAAGGGGTTGAGGGAAGTCTTAGGCTGTGGTATCCAAAGATTTTCTATGATGTTATGAAGTTGTTATGCTGGAAAATTGGTGCATTTTTTAAAAAATTATATACAGTATATGAAGCAAGGAACTTACTTCCAAGTAAACATGAATAGGACTTCTCTTTCTTGCCCTTTAAATTAAATAAAAATGCAAACTCTGCAGCTGTGAATTTGCTTTTATTCTTCTTCTGCTAACCAGGACTCCCCCCACCCCAAATACCCCACCCCCCAAAACCTATCGGGTCCTGCCAAAACAAAGAAAATACACTTCCCCTGTCTTTGTAACACTGCTCTTTGGAAAGGTCAAATCCACAGGTTTTTCTGCCACTTGTAAATTTCAGCCCTGCATTTCCAACCTCTTTCTCTTTCCCAACTTATGCACATTTCATCAGTTTCTTGGGAGTGGGTAAAAGCAGCATGGGCGCTGCTGCAGCTTAGGAGAGGGGCGAATGAATGTGCATAAATCATTCCTGCAGAATGTGTTTCCCACCAGCAAGCCAGAATTTTGCTGATATTAATGAGCAAGTTTCATATTTCACACACTCTCCTGGTCCCAGTTGTCCCTTACGGTTCAGCTGGCCATCCTTTGCCTAAAGCAGAGGTGTGTGGGACATTATGGAAAAGTAATTAAAAGGGAGCTATTTCCAAGATGGCCACTCCAAGCTGATCATGAAGATCTTTGCTTTTGTTGTTTCGTTTCTGTTGGCAGCTGTGCTGCTCCTGCTATTGTCAGAAAAGATTCTGAGGTCATGAAACACCGGAAACGGCCCCTGATAGACCTTTGCTCGACAACGTCTACGTTGGCCTGGTTTCTCACAACACAGTGAATGGCTTGCGGGGACCACACAAACTTGCAGGTTCTTGGAGAGCATCTCACAACCACTTTGCTCGTCTGCAGTCTTTTTCTTCACTTTCACACCATATTGAGCTGAGCAAACGTTCAACTTAGCATTCTGTTGTCCAAACCCAGGCTGGTGGTCGAGCTCTCTTCTTGCTAACCAATGGTTGTAAAAAGGTAAAGGGACCCCTGACCATTAGGTCCAGTCGTGGCCAACTCTGGGGTTGCGGCGCTCATCTCCCTTTACTGGCCGAGGGACCTGGCATACAGCTTCCGGGTCATGTGGCCAACATGACTAAGCCGCTTCTGGCGAACCAGAGCAGCACACGGAAATGCCGTTTACCTTCCCGCCGGAGTGGTACCTATTTATCTACTTGCACTGGCGTGCTTTGGAACTGCTAGGTTGGCAGGAGCAGGGACTGAGCAACGGGAGCTCACCCCGTCACGGGGATTCGAACTGCCAACCTTCTGATCGGCAAGTCCTAGGCTCTGTGGTTTAACCCACAGCGCCACCTGCGTTCCCTAACCAATAGCTGTAGCAAAGGAAAAAACCTTGGCTGTACAGCCTGTGGTTAGTGAAAAGAGAGCTGAACCATGTGGCCAAGTCTGGATGGCTCCGCACGGCACCTGAGTTGAAAAGGCAGAGGAGGAGCAAAAAAAGACGGCAAGCTTCTCTCTAGGAGCACGCACACTTGGGGAGATAGAGGCACAGGAAGTGGGTGGTCCCTGCGTCTGAAAGGTTGGCCACTTGTCTGTCCTGGAAGGGCTGCTCTCCTTCATAAAGAACAGGTGCATAGGTTGGGGGCAGTCCTGGATCCATCTTTGTCACTTGAGGGTCAAGTAGCCTCATGAGTCCAGGGCCCTGCTGGATTTAACTTCCTTCCGCAGGGCCTCTAAGACAGAGCTATTCCGCCTGGCTTTCAATTTGAACATAGCCTGATCTTTTATTCCCCTTCCTTCCCTTCCCCTCCCCATTTTATGAAGATTACCCACTCTGGGATCCCACAGCTAATTCTCCTCGCTGGCCCAAATAGGACTAAAATTTAGCCAGCTAGCCCTGGTGATCATCTAATGTTTATTGGGTGGCTTTCCCCCCAAATGGATTTTTGAATTCTGAATTTATTGTTATTCACGTTTTATACTGTATTTTAAGCTGGTTTTTTTTGCATCAATTAAGTGTTTTAAATTTGTTGTTAGCCGCCCTGAGCCCGGTTTTCTGAACCAGGAAGGGCGGGGTATAAATAAAAAGTTGTTATTGTTATTATTATTATTATTATTATTATTATTATTATTAGCTGGGAGCAGGGACGCGGACTTATAAAAAATATTGGGGGGGCCCGGGAAAGCTCATGAATAATACATAAGCTCATGAATATGCAAATAAAGTGGCGCCGCCTCCTCGTGAGCGAATAGGGGAGAGCGTGCTGCGCCTATTAATCAGCTCCAAAGGAAATTGGGTGGAGCTTTTGCTCGGGAGGGAGGGCAGGAGGCATGCAGCCCGCCCCTCCCTGTGCATTTTGGGCTGGGGAGGGGCGGCGATGGCGCTCTGCTGGAGGGGCGCCGGAGATTATTGGGGGGCGGAGCCCCCCCAAACGAATTTTTGAGGGGGCTCGGGCCCCCTCAAGCCCCATGGAGTCGGCGCCTATGGCTAGGAGTGCCTTTCAGTGGTGTGCGGTGATTTTTTTTGTAGGGGAACAGTTAGGGCCAGATGCGCCAGCTCGTGAAGGCAATTGGGAGGTCCGATGTTGCATGTGTGATGCCCCAACGTCACATGTTTGAGCATCGCTCCTCCCGCTCTGAGCTAGGCACAAGCTTTCCAGACCTTGGGGAGGAAGCGCCAGGCTTTAATACTTTAATACTCTAATTTACTGGGAACCTTTAGGGGACTAGCCTAGTCCCCCTAGTCCACTGACTGCACGCCACTGTACAGAGTAGATATGGATTGTAGCTAATTTTACATGTTTATGTCACTTCCCAAACCAGACATGGAAGCATAGTGGATAAAGAGTAAATGGGAGTATGTACGCAGCCTACATTTTCTCCAAAAGATGGGTTGAAAAATCTAGTTTCTTCCCAAGCACAAGTCTAGGAATCTTTATGTCTAAGATAACACTGCATAATAACATGGGGAGTGTGGTCCTGCAGTTTGGCTCAGTTTATTTATTTAAAAACCGCTGGTCATAACAAAACAGATCACAGAATACAGTAGTCTCCGAAAAGTGCTGAGAATTATTGCTTTCTTTTACTAAGCTGTGCTTTTTACAAGCCGTCTCATAAAAGGAACTATGTGACTGTGAAAGCTGGATTCACCCAATATTTCTCCTGCCTCTTGCATTCATATGGACCTTGTTTCTTTCTGTTTTTTTACAAGAGTTTCCTCACTTGACTGCCGGCAGGGAACTCAGAGAGCAGGGTTCAAATCACCCCACCTGGCCAGGACAATCCCTGGGTGCTCCCTTGGGCCACTCGCCTGACCCACCTCGCAGGGCTGTTGTTGCGAGGATAACACGGGGAGAACCACGCGCGCCCCCGGGAGCTCCTTGGAGGAGAAAGCGGGCGATGAATGCAATGCACGAAATATATGAGAGGCGACCAGGTTTTGCAGGTGAGGGGCCCCCGCCAGCCTCCGCTTCCAACACCCGGCGCAACGATGCCGAAGTTTTCCCCCGGGCTCGGCTCGGGGAGCAGCGCTGCTCCCCCCCCGGCTCCCCTTCGCCCTCCCGGCTCTCTCTGCCGCCCACTGGGGACCCCCCTCACCTGCCAAGTCCGGAGCGCCGGTGGAAGTTGCATGCATGCATGCAGGGCGCCGCGTTGCCATTGCATTGCACTGCTCTCCATGCAACGCCTGCACGCATGCATTGCCTTGCACGCCCGCCAAGGGGTCTCCCTGCGGTCCGATGCGTATTTAATGCAGGCTACCAATTATTATTTTGTGTGTGTGTGTGTGTGTGCGCGCGCTGCTTTATAAGGCTGATTAATATTCTACCTACAGCCTTTTAAATGTGTTTGTGGGATGGGGGGCATTATTGTTTCGTTTTAACTATTTACTTGCGTTTTTACCTTGTATTTTCATCCTGAGAACCGCCCTCAGATCTTGTGAAGAAAGGTAGTATATAAATCTAATAAATAACAACAACAACCACCAGGCAGTTTCGATCCTGCGGTGCAATCTGCACTTCAGTAGCATTGGGAATGCGCACAGCACATGTTGAAATCACATGACTAAACACATGATTAAAGCACGTGACTTCTGCCGAAGAATCCTGGGAACTGTAGTTCCCCCCCTCACAGAGCTACAATTCCCAACACTCTTAACAAAACCACAGAATTATTAAGCAAAGTCGTGTGGTTTAAAAGTGCATTGACAGTGCTTTCCATGTATGGTGTGGGTCAATGTTTAGTTAGCAAAAAGGTAAAGGACCCCTGGATGGTTAAGTCCAGTCAAAGGTGACTATGGGGTTGCAGCACTCATCTCGCTTTCAGGCTGAGGGAGCTGGCATTTGTCCACAGACAGCTTTCCAGGTCATGTGGTCAGCAGGACTAAACCACGTCTGGCACAACGGGACACTGTGACGGAAACCAGATTGCACAGAAACGCCGTTTACCTTCCTGCCACAGTGGTACCTATTTATCTACTTGGACTGGTGTGCTTTCAAACTGCTAGGCAGGAGCTGGGACAGAGCAATGGGAGCTCACTCTGTCATGGGGATTCGAACCGCTGACCTTCTGATCGGCAAGCCCAAGAGGCTCAGTGGTTTAGACCACAGCGCCACCCGCATCCCTCCTTTTTGTCAGCAGCACACTCTTAGCTAGAGAAGGGAACTATCATGACTTTGTAGTGATGCTTTGTAGCACATAATTATACATTTCAGGGGAAAGTCCGAACCTCGAAGGGCAATCTCTTCTGTTACAAGCAACTGGCTGCAGAGCCGGTTTGGGCTTCTCCATGCAGTGGGAGTTGTTGACTTGGGCTCTGTCCAGTAAGCATCTCAGCTGGTGATACTGCAGACCCTTGTTACCGCAGGAGGCTGAGCAGGGCGACATCTTATCCACCGACCACCAGTAATCTGCAAGAGCAGCAAAACATCCAGGTGAAAAGTTCTAACAGAGTTAGATCTAATAGAGCTTATTAGTAGGTGTAAAAGCAGCAGACTTCTCAACCCATCTTTTTTCCCCCCATCAATATATTTATATGGTTATAGGTCATGGGTGGGCAAGGTTTTTTTAACCCTCGAGGGCCATGTTGTCTTCTGGGTAAGCTCCTGAGGGCCGCATACCAGTGGTGGGCAAAGTCAGAGGCAGAAGTAGGTGCAGCAACAAATGTAAATTTTATCTTTGTAGAGTAGGTGAGTTTATACATGGTGCACACACTCAACTCACCCTCTGTCCTTCATCCAAGAAAGAGGCATTTTCAGAGTCCATTAATGCACATTCCGTGAAAGTTGTGTTCTGTGGTACCCACAGCAGTTCCTTAGATTTCCAAATGTGATCCCATGTCCAAAAAGGTTGGGGAAACCTGACAGTCATTGCCATTTATTGGAAATGGCTTTTTCCTCCACCACTACAACCCTTTTGATGCAAGTAACCAGAGCCAAATTTAGGTTTGAGGAGGCCCTAAGCTACTGAAGGTAATGGGGCCCTTTCTATGTCCAGCTGTCCTTGGCCAACAACAAATGGTCTCTGTTTTTTGTGTTGAATATATGCTATATGGTGATTTATGGACCTCATTTGCTGTATGTAGGTTTTATTTTGTTTGTTTTTTATCTTATATCTTGGAAATGTACATCCAGTTTTTTTCCTTTAATTTTTTGGGGGGAGCCCCAAAAGAGTGGGGCCCTAAGCTATAGCTTGTTTAGCTTATACGTAAATCTGGCACCGCAAGTAACTATGAAGAGGAACTGTACCATATAGTGCTTGGAGAATGGCGCCATAATTCACTGATCCAAGATGGAAGACAATGGGAAAGGTTGCTGCTAACAATGGTATGCCGAGAATCTGAGATGGGAGTGGCAGCTGGGCAGGCGTCTGTCATACTCACAAGTCAACAAGAGGATAGATCCCTCTTGTGTCATGATTCTGCTCGCAATAGTGATTTGCAAGACTACCTCCATAACAGCACTCAAAACATGGGAAGTTCCAAAATCCTTAGGAGCATTTTGGAATACTGTAAACACTGATTTCAAAATGCTAAACTCCCTTGGGTGTGATCGGCATTCCAGACTGAAAACTCAACGCACCTCTGTCAAGAACATAACTGTGGAGGCAGGGCCAGATTTAGGTTTGATGAGGCCCTAAGCTACTGAAGGTAATGGGGCCCTTTCTATGTCCAGCTGTCCTTTGTCAACAACAAATGGTCGCTGTTTTTGTGTTGAATATATGCTATATGGTAATTTATGGACCTCATAGGTATCTAAAGCCATTTGTGCATGTTGCCCTGCAACCAGTCCATGCAGAATGTTGGCACCCTATATATAGAAAGGAGCAAACCAGGGATATTTTAGGGAGCAGGCTAGCAGGCGGAACCCAAGACTTACATCATAGGAACCTACACAACACAAAACACTGTTGTTGTAGGTAGGTTTTATTTTATTTGTTTTTTATCTTATATTTTGGAAATGTACATCCAGATTTTTTCTTCCTTTAAATTTTTTTGGGACCCCCAAGAGAGTGGGACGCTAAGCTATAGCTTGTTTAGCTTATACGTAAATCTGGCACTGCGTGGAGGTACTCCAGTAATTCAAAAGTTGCTTTGGTTGGGTATCCTTAACATTACACCGTAGTTTATAAACGTTTGGTATTTGTGAATGCCGGTGAAGTGTGTCCTCTTCTTTGAGCTAACTGACTCTGTTGGCAATATTCTAAAATCCATAATCTATTGCCCAGAAACTGACTGCTTCCACATGAAATTTGTATGCTGTTTGTTTGTGTGTTTGTTTAAACAACAACTGTATTACCTATGCCATTACACCAATTCCAAAAATCTAGAGGTGCAGTTTTTACCTTGGACTGTCAGAGATGTTTTTTGTACGAGCAAGCCTGCCTCGTTCTGAGCCATGCAGCTGATTTCTCCTTGATAATCAAGGCTGATGTTCAGTATCTGAATAATCTCTCCAGACGACAACACATGGTGAGGCATGCTGAGGGGCTGACCAGCATGAAACCAGGTAATGTTAGGAGCAGGATGACCATTCACAGGGCAGCCTAAAAAAAATAATAATAAAGGACAGTAACATATCAAATCCCAGCAAACTTGGTCCCCGATAGCAGAGAACCCAAAGATGGTAGCTCCATATTCTTGACAAACATTCATATCTGCATTGTCCTGTTCAATTCAAAATGGCATGCGGGTGGCGCTGTGGGTAAAAGCCTCAGTGCCTGTGGACACAGGTGGTGCTGTGGGTAAAAGCCTCAGCGCCTAGGGCTTGCCGATCGAAAGGTCGGCGGTTCGAATCCCCGCGGCGGGGTGCGCTCCCGTTGCTCGGTCCCAGCGCCTGCCAACCTAGCAGTTTGAAAGCACCCCCGGGTGCAAGTAGATAAATAGGGACCGCTTACAAGCGGGAAGGTAAACGGCGTTCTGTGTGCGGCTCTGGCTCGCCAGAGCAGCGATGTCACGCTGGCCATGTGACCCGGAAGTGTCTCCGGACAGCGCTGGCCCCCGGCCTCTTGAGTGAGAAGGGCGCACAACCCTAGAGTCTGTCAAGACTGGCCCGTATGGGCAGGGGTACCTTTACCTTTAAACCAATCACCAAATGGACGCTACCTACAAGAGAATAGCAGTAAGCTCTGAGCTGCTGTCTCCATTAGACTGGCCCCACTCCAGAGGCAGTTTTAGAGTACAGTCATACCTCGGGTTGAAGTTGCTTTAGGTTGAGCATTTTCAGGTTGCGGAACGTGTTACTTCCGGGTTTCGCTGCTCGCGCATGCGCACATGCTCGAAATGACGCCACGCACATGCGTAGAAGCGGCAAATCGCAACCTGAGCACGTGCAGACACGGGCTGCGTTCTGCTCTGGATGCGAATGGGGCTCCGGAGGTTGGCAGGCGCTGGGACCGAACGACGGGAGCGCACCCCGCCGAGGGGATTCGAACCACCGACCATGCGATCGGCAAGTCCTAGGCGCTGAGGTTTTACCCACAGCGCCACCCGCGTCCCTTATGGGGATATATAGACCTTTTAAATATTCCACTGTTAACTCACTTATAGTGGCTTCCCATTCTACCCCCTTTGCAGTGAACAGACTACAAAGTTTGGGAAGTTTAAAAGAAGTTTACTTACAAACTCATTCAAGGTCAGAGTCCTGCGTTTTTCTACACAGCAGCAAGAAAAACTCAGGTAGAAAAACTTAAGTTTACAAAATGTGGCAAAAGTTTCTGAGCAGACGGTCTGAGCTTGAAGCGGTCAAGCTCAGAAGTCCTCTCTGATTGGGTTCATATGGTGGAAGAGAGCAAATAGCAGAAAAAATGTAAAAAAAAACCCAACAACTTTACTAGCTGTCAGTTACAGGACATAAGGGGTCGTGACCTGGTCAAGTTTCGGGCAACAGCTTACTCTATGGTCTTAACTCCTTCATGCATTTAACTGGAGCTACACATGGTAGCTATATGAGCCTACATTTCCCACACTGCAAATCTTGGGGGGTGGGGTGGGGTGTCATCCTGACTCTGTTGATTCTACTTTTTTATATATGGCTGTTGCCTTCCTGGCTCCACAAGTGATGACACTTGGTGAACTGAATTGGATTTCAAATAGAGGATGAGGATGTTCTGTGTCCTGAATCAACAGACACTGTGTGTGCACATCATGCATTTAAAGCACACACACACACACACCCCCCAATCCTGGGAACCAAAGTTTGTTAAGGGTGCTGGGAATTGTAGTTTTGTGAGGGGTAAACCACGGTTCCTGTGTGCTTTAAATGTACTCAGCCGAAGAGAGCGGGGCCCTGCAGTCTAGCTTCTCAGAAAGACGCATTCTCTCCCAGGATCCCAAAGTTAGACTTGCAGAGTGCTGGCAGCCAGGCAAAACGAGCTCTGACTTGTGAACTGAACAAATATGATATGGAAGTCACCAGGGGAGAAGACAATAAATATGGAACAGCAGGATTTCCTTTTTACAGTTGACTGTACTTCTCTGGTCATAAAAAGCACACTTTACTAGCAAACTCTGCTGTTATTGTTTCATATCTCCCATGAATAGGGGCTTTTATTGCTTTTTAAAAAACTACTTGTACTGAAAGTCTGGGTCACAGACTGGACGCGAGTCAAATGGTATGGGTAGAGGCTGGTTTTTGCACTGCTCCATAAGGGTCAGATGAAGGGACCACATAACACCGGTTCTGAGAGATCTGCATTGGCTCCCTGTACGTTTCCGAGCACAATTCAAAGTGTTGGTGCTGACCTTTAAAGCCTTAAACGGCCTCGGTCCTGTATACCTGAAGGAGCGTCTCCACCCCCATCGTTCAGCCCGGACACTGAGATCCAGCGCCAAGGGCCTTCTGGCGGTTCCCTCATTCCAAGAAGTGAGGTTACAGGGAACCAGACAGAGGGCCTTCTCGGTAGTGGCGCCCACCCTGTGGAACACCCTCCCTTCCGATGTGAAGGAAATAAGCAGCTATCCTATCTTTAAAAGACATCTGAAGGCAGCCCTGTTCAGGGAAGTTTTTAATATCTAACGCTGTAATGTTTTTAACACTTGATTGGGAGCCACCCAGAGTGGCTGAGGAAACTTAGCCAGATGGGCGGGGTATATTATTATTATTATTACCTGGGGCCCTCCAACTGCTTCTGGACTTCAGCTCTGACAATGGGCTGGGGCTGATGGGACTTGGAAGCCAACACTAGGAAGGCCATAGGTTCTACATGCCTAGCTTAGGAGCAGGTTCACAGTCTGTGGAACCATTAGATCCCAGTTGTGCCTCTGAATGCCTAAGGGACTTCTGTGGCACAGAGCATCTTTCACTCCCCCCATCATCCCCAACCACTGGACCTGCTGGCTACAGCTGGCAAGAGCTGGAGTCTAACAACATCTGGAGGACCACAGGTTCCCCATCCCTGGTTTAGTGGCAAACCCCTTACCCAATTTTTTGGAGGGTTCGGAACCCTCTGAACTTGAAGCATGGGAAGTCCTATTCAATTTTTTTAAATAATTTGGCAGAATATTTGGATTATTTGATATGTATATTTTGGAATATTTAATGTGATTTGATTGGATTGTTAAAGTGGAAAATTTAATAAAAATGAATAAAAAAAACAATTTTTGGGGGGGGGAGCTGGAGCAGCAGGTCGCTTAAAAAGAAAAGTGCTGATGTTAATCTTTAAAGCTCCAAAGGGCAGAAAACAATGCTCTGATGTACAGTCCTTGGTGTTTGAACAGCTTAGTTCGCGAACGTTTTGGCTCCCGAACGCCGCAAACCAGGAAGTGAGTGTTCCTGTTTGTGAACTGTTTTTGGGAGCCAAATGTCCGACGCAGCTTCCGATTGGTTTCAGGAGCTTCTTGCAGCCAACCAGAAGCCACGCTTTGGTCTCCGAACGTTTTGGAAGTTGAATGGACTTCTGGAACGGATTCCATTCAAGAACCAAGGTACCACTGTACAGTCAAACCTCGGGTTACAGATGCTTCAGGTTGTGTTTGGGATTACGGACCGCCAAAACCCGGAAGTACTGGATCGGATTACTTCCGGGTTTCGGCGGTTGCGCATGCGCAGGAGTGCAAAATTGTGCTTTGCACATGCGCAGAAGTGCCGAATCGCAACCCGCGCGTGCAGAGACATGCCACTGCGGGTTGCGGATGCTGCAGGTTGCGAACGTGCACCCTGCACGGATCACGTTCGCAACCCGAGCTTCCACTGTACATATAGGTTTTCTAACCTAAGTTGCTAATGATTCTGTTCTGATCTGACTGCCTCACCAAGTTCAAGGGAAGAGGAGAGATATAACTGGGCACCATCTGCACATTGGTGGCAACAACAGGCTCCCCCAGATCCTTTTGTGACCTGAACTGCCTGCCTCTCTTTTTCAGTGATTTGGCAGCTCAATGCAACTGCTGCCGTCATGTCTAGCACTTGACTTAGCTGTCACACCTCTCATATATGCACAAAAACAAAACAAAAATTGTATTTCCAGTGCAATGATAAAAAGAGCATCGAAACCCCCACCGCTCCGAAATCTTCCTTTTAACTTCTTGGAAAGGTCCGCAGCCTTAAATATAAACACTTAACATTGTACATTCATTTTTTTTTCAAATAAAAGATCAACATACTTTTGAAAATCTTAAATGGGTCACTAATAAAAATATGTGAAAACTGATGCTTTTCAAAATGGTTGAGGCAACTGTTTATAGGTCCCTGGTAACGTATTAGAAAACAGAATACTAAATGCAGGAACTGGCATGCATGGCATTGATATCTTTATCTATATAAAATTATTCTAACAGTCCTAAGTGGTGGCTGCCATGGGTAGATTTACTGTCTTTGATTTAAGTTTCCAAATATTTCAAGTATTACTTATACCCCCGTTTCTCTTAAAACCTGGGAACTTGAAGCTTCATTCCAAACCCAGCAGCATCTCTGTTGCTGCATTATAAACGCTATCAAATATTCTTATACAGATTGCGCGCGCACACGCACGCACACACACACACGAAATCACTGCACATCAGGAAGATTGGATTTCTGCTGATTCTTAGAAATAAATAGGATGTGTGGGGTTGGAAACACCAGGGATGCTTGTCAAATGTTTCCACTTTTCTCTGTGTAACAAGAATGGGTAGCCCTGAAGGAGGGTAGGTATCAAATTCCTATTTTGGCATTCTCGCAGCTCAAGCCTACAGATGTCTACTCAAATGTAAGCCTACCAAGTTTAATGGGGGCTTGTTCTCAGGTACGTGGGTAAAGGATTGAAGCCTAAAAGTAAGAAAAAAACAACCCCCAAACACCTATCTCAACCACCATTCTTTGCGGCTTCTGTATTTGACAGGTAATTAATCTACAGTTGCCATTTGCAATAACCCTCCAGAAATACGCAAGCATGAGCCATGTAAGCAGATTATTTTCCATCTGTACAAAGAGAAGCTAGCATAGACCAACATTTCAAATTCCTTGGTCTATGGGATATTCATACAGAATTCCCAGTACACCAGGGAGCAGATTCGCAACTGGATCTCCCACCTTCCACTGAAAAAAGAGGGGAAAAACCCTACAAAAAGTTAAAAGTGACTACGTGTGTTTGGAATTAAATTTTGGAGCAGCAGTATGGGTTGAGGGGCAGTTCTTTGGAATGAAGTCACTCTCCCACAACCCAAAGTTTCCATGAGCCCTGCTGGGAAGGGAGAGGGGAAAAAAGTTGAACGTGGTAAATTCTAAACACCTGAACTTACCAATCAGCACAGAACTCCCTGGGCTGAGAACTTTTCTCGTTCCTGAAGGAGATGTTATCACAGAAGGAACGCCTGGTCCTGTGATGGATAATGCGGCTGCCATGTCTTCCAAATGATGAGGGAATTGTGGCGGGTCTGGGAACACATTGAAAAGCCTAAGATACGACAAGGAAGCCTCTTAACCAAGACAGTTAATTCCTGACGTTCTTTAGTACCGCTCGTGGTATTGTTTGCCACATTGAAATGTGAACTTTCTCAGATGGGACTTATATCTATTTTATGAATGGGGGAATAACGAGGGCAAAACATTAACGAGACAACAGGCCTAATGAGTGACATCATGAACAGAACCATTTTCAACGTTGGGAGGTGGAATCCTAACAAATACAGTGGGATGCCTCAATAGCCAGCAGATGGACAAAACTAAGCTAGGATACACAGGTGAGTCTATGGCCCATAATTAATCTGTGGAACTCAGTGTTGCAGGATATGTTTGATGGTCACAAGAAAAACTTCTTTAAAAAAATCAAATCAAATTCACAGAAAACTGGTTTAGTATGGGATTCTAGTCAAACATAATAGTAATAGTACTAGTAGTAATAATATTGATTGATTGATTGATTGACTGATTGATTATACCCCACCCATCTGACTGGGTTGCCCCAGCCACATTGGGTGGCTTTCAACATATATAAAAACATAATAAAACATTAAACATTTTAAAAAAGCTTCCCTATACAGGGCTGCCTTCAGATGTCTTCTAAAGGTTATATAGTTGCTCATCTTCATGGCAACTGATGGGAGTGGGGTCCACAGGGTGGGTGCCACTACTGAGAAGGCCCTCTGCCTGTAGCTTTACTTCTTAATAATAATATTATACTAGTGATGGTCTATCTCTGACTATTAGATGTGGGATAATAAAAACAGAAGGGGTACCTTTATTTACCTGATCATGATTCTCCTGAGGATATCTCTCAGTAGAAAGAATCCTAAGCTTCATGGATTTGTCTGCCCAGCATAAACATGTCTAAGTCACCCTGGCAACACGGAGTTTTCCAGATGACTTCAGGGGTTGACGAATCTCTTAATTCAGAAACTTTCCCATTCAGAGCTTTTTAAAAAATTATAATCAGTCCCCTTAAGTTGATTAAAGGCATACTCATCATTCAGTGACTTCTGCCTCAAGTTATTTGCCTGCACAAAGGGGCCACTCAGATTGTGTTGCCTATCGTCAGTTCAGGCACAACATTTTTCAGTGGAGTCAGTTCACACATCCAAGTGCACCAAGTATAACTAGTATAGTGGTACCTTGGTTCCCAAGCAACTTGGAACCCAAACACTGCAAACCCGGAAGTACCCGTTCCGGTTTGCAACTTTTTTTGGAAACTGAATGTGCTCCGTTTTGAGTGTTTTGCTGAGCTCTGTATGTTTTTGCGACTTTTTTGTTTCGTTTTTGTGACTGCGTGGAAACCAGTTCAGCTACTGATGAATTGATTGTGTCACTGCAGTACATTGTTTATTGCTTTCATTTTATGGATCAATGGTCTCATTAGATAGTAAAATTCATGTTAACTTGCCGTTTTTGGGGTTGTTTTTAAAAGTCTGGAACGGATCGATCCATTTTGCATTACTTCCTATGGGAAAGCGCGCCTTGGTTTTGGAACGCTTTGGTTTTTGGAACAGACTTCTATAACAGATTAAGTTTGAGAACCAAGGTACCACTGTACATGCAATGTGTGAACCAGCCTTTGCACAAACAGCAGGGTTTGAGAAGTCTCTGTTTCTAAAGGTGACGCCAGAGACAGAAGGGTAATTTCTGAGTTCCGTCTGCATGTTCTGCCCTGGAAGCTTGGGTCAGCCGGGGTTTAAAAACAAGCAAAGCATCGAGTCCTGAAAAATGAGGTCTGCCATGGGTACTTTCGTATGAGTTGGGAAGCATCAATTCGCCCAGGCCTCTCTAGAATGTGCACACTCCATTAGCAAATCTACAGTAGCATTTGCTCAACCTAGCCTATCTTTCAGCTCTCAAGCAGCAGGGAGTAAAAATGGCACAAACGTGTTATTAGGAAGGAAAATCCATCAGCAAGCGCCATAAATCAGCCCTAGGAACACATTTCCACTCATGCTTTGGGCCTGACCATGTCATTCCAAATCACCCAGCTAGACTCAAACTGCCTGCTATCGTGAAACACAAGACAAAGTAAACTTCACCCTTCGGTGAACTGAGTCCCTGTTTTGTGTGCGCTTTTCAAAATACAGGGCCGAGTTTGGTTTTTGCATCTGTCAGTGAGGTGTGAAATTGGTCCGTGTCACTTTGTGATTTACCACAGGGCTTGCTTCTCCAGTAAGGAGACCGTGATAGAGAAGAAGGAGGAATATATTGCCTTCATTTAGGGAAGCCTGTTCTTGGAGAAGGGCCCGTTTCTGTCCTCGGCACGAAAAGCTGGTGTACTATTAAATTCTCAAGTATCAGCTCACTGGAAGTGAGTTCAGGAGTGCCATTTCAGACTCAGTAAGGAGGCAAATATATTTCACTAGAGGTTGGTATTGGGTGTATCCTGGGGAAATTCTTACCCCAATTAAAAGGCCCACTGTTTGATGCATTAAATAGGCAGGGAAAGCAATGCTTTTAAGGGCATTTGTCGACATTTCTCTTTTAACAATATAGCAATAGCTGTCATTTAACCAAAGGAAGCTTACCAAGTCAGTCACCTTTCATTTTTAAGCGAAGAAATTTGTAACACTGGCATACATATCTAATACACAAGGCATTTTAGCTATGATGACTGCAGCCACCTAACGCGTAGAACCAGCACACAGGCCACAAGTCAAAGGTCCTCCTGAGGAGAAATCACATGTGGTCTGAAGCGCAAGAAAGGGAGGGTGCTGGTCCCTTTCAGGCCTGGCTCTACCGTTAGGCAGAGTGCAATGGCCACCTCAGGCGGCAGATGTCGGAGGGCAGGAGGCGGTGGTGAGGTGTTGCAAAGAGAGAGAGAGAGAGAGCTGTGTGTGCACCACAGAGAGATGGACAAATCTGTCAATATTGGCTTCTCTCAGTTTGTAATTTCAAAAAAGTATTTAATTCAGTTCTCCGCATTTCCACATCTGTTTTCTTTCCCTTTTTTAAAAAAAGAGAATCTTGAAAATTCACCAGCGTTTTAGTTTGGCTTTCTCCTAATATACACAATTTTGAAAGAAATTTAGCTTATTTCAAGGCAACATTCCCTGATGCAATGCATTTTTGTAGCTCATTTGCACCAATATATGCATCTTCGTCTACACCTTACCCTAGTTTATGTACTATTGTACACATGACTTGGGTGGAGAGCTGCGTTGCAAAATTCAGAGGAGTGCAAATTTTGAAGGTATCGTTTTGGAGAAAGCAGATTAGACAGGTTTGCCTTTAAATGTGAACCGAACTGAATTTCTCCACCCATCTCTAGGGTCACACGGCGTATTCTGCACTTCCTAAGTGAGGATGCTGGCCTCCGACTCACTTAGGATTCAATTACCAGCCTGCCTGGCTTTGATACATGGAATTGTGGTGTGTCCTTTCATACCCCCAAATTGTGGTGTGTCCTTACATACCTATAAACATGGGACTGTCTCTGGAAAACAGGGGCACTTGTAAGATCTGTCCTTCATGTCAGGCAGCAAAAAGTATTAGGTAAGCCCTGTGACCAGTGGCACTTAAGTGCTCAACACCTTTAGAAACTCGCTGTGTTTTATGTTTCACATATAACATTAAACCAGGGCTGCTCTCCACCTCAGTACTTCCTATGAGAAAGGGCTGCAACAATATTCCAAAGACCTTAGTTACAACATGAATCCAACCTATCACCAAGTAAGTATTTCACAATTGCACAGCTAACGCTAAATTTTGAGACTGCTTCTGTGCGCTGTCTAGCTTCTGGAAGTCAAAACCTCTGACAGTTCCTCTCTCATAACCCTACTGAGGTCCAAACTACACGAGATGTTAAATACGTGTCTGCCTCTGTTTGCATTGTGAGGGAATTCCCCATTGATACTACCCATATAATGCATTCTCCTCTCCATTCCTGTCCACTTCCTGTTCTTATGCCCCCAATGTCAGCTGACACATCTGCCTATTTAAAACACCTGTTCTTCCAAAGAAACTACTCTCCTCTGAGCTTAAAAATGCTGGTGGTCAGCAAAAGAGGTTCAAAGACTGACTCAAAGCAAATCTTTAAAAATATAGTATAAACACCAATAACTGGGAAACACTGGCCTGCGAGCGCTCCAGTTGGAGAACAGCCTTTACCAAAGGTGTCATGGACTTTGAAGACACTCGAACTCAGGATGAAAGGGAGAAATGTGCTAAGAGGAAGGCACGCTTGGCAAATCCACATTGTGATCAACTCCTACCTGGAAACCAGTGTCCCCACTGTGGAAGGACGTGTGGATCCAGAATTGGCCTCCACAGACACTTACGGACTCGTTTTTAAAACCATGTTTATGGAAGACAATCTTACTCGACTATGAGGGATCGCCAAAGAAGAGAAGAAGAAGACTTTGAATATCGTGACTGGTTTGGCCCTGCACCCCTCACTTTTATATTACGGCAATACTGGTTTTTCTCTCTGAAGTACACTTGAAGAAACCTTGGCAAGAAATGTTAGCTCTTTAAACGACAGTGTAAATTTAAGCTTACCCAGAACAAGAAGCTGAGTGCTTTCGGTAATCTGCCCACGAATGTTGGCTGCCCTGCAGGAGTATAAGCCTTGATCCGAGAGAGAAACATTTTCAATCTGCAGTGACCCATCCTGCAGGTAATGACCAGGGGCCAGCTTGATTTTATTCCTGAACCAGGTGAGTTCTGCTTCAGGCACACCTGTTAAGAGAATATATTAAAATAAAATCCTGAGAGAGAGAATCTGCATTCTGTACACTCTGCAAAGGTGTAGTTGAGAAAAGCTGACGTTACATATGTTGGTTCTTTTTTTATATTTTTTTTGCCAAAGTCCCAGTCTATCTCACACACATTAACTTGTTCTGAGAAGAATAAAAGTCATTCATTCATTCAATGTACACATTATCCTTCAGTGATCAGGATCACAGCACAGTTCACAATGTATTTAAAAGAAGGTTAAATACAAATCAGTAAAATAAAGTATGCGAAAACATGCAAATTAAAACTCAGAGTTTAAAGCAGGCTTCCTCAACCTCAGCCCTCCAGATGTTTTTGTCCTACAACTCCCATGATCCCTAGCTAGCAGGACCAGTGGTCAGGGATGATGGGATTTGTAGTCTCAAAACATCTGGAGGGCCGAGGTTGAGGAAGCCTGGTTTAAAGTTATCATATCCAAGCAGCAATTGCAGGACAAACACCCCAAAGTCTAAGTGAATAAATCTTAGTAAGTCTTAAGTTGTCTATGAAAACTCATCAACAAGGTGGGTGCACCTCTAATGGAAGTTAGTTCCACAGATGGGGTGTCAGCACAGGTAAGATACTCAGTACAATGGTACCTCAGGTTACATACGCTTCAGGTTACATACGCTTCAGGTTACAGACTCCGCTAACCCAGAAATAGTGCTTCAGGTTAAGAACTTTGCTTCTGGATGAGAACAGAAATTGGGCTCCCGCGGCGTGGCAGCAGCGGGAGGCCCCATTAGCTAAAGTGGTGCTTCAGGTTAAGAACAGTTTCAGTTTAAGAATGGACCTCCAGAACAAATTAAGTACTTAACCCGAGGTACCACTGTACTTTGAAAGGCTACACCAGTATCTTGAACTGGGCCCAGTAGTGCGAAGGCAATTCCTTCAAAATGAGTGTAATATGATTCTAGTTTGAGGCACTGCTCTCAGTACTCTTGCAGCCACAATCTGCACCAGTGGCACCTTATTTTATATTTATTGCTATTTCAGTTTGTATGCCCTCTTTCCCACATACGTGTGTCCAACATGGCTCACAACATGGCGGCAAGAAAGAAGAAGAATACATGATTACAGTAACAGTCTAAATCAGGCATCCCCAAACTCGGCCCTCCAGATGTTTTGGGACTACAATTCCCACCATCCCTGACCACTCATCCTGTTAGCTAGGGATGATGGGAGTTGTAGTCCCAAAACATCTGGAGGACCAATTTTGGGGATGCCTGGTCTGAATCCTAAATCATTTCAAAACATGGCTATCCAAATAAATAATTCATTTCAATAATACGGACATAACAACATCTTGATTTTTAATCATTAAAATATATCCATTGATAGTCTTCAAGGCTTGCCCCCATGTCCCCGTTGCAGTAATCCAGACTAATTACTATGTGGACATAATCACATTGGAAACTCCCTTATTCTGTCGGACCATGGTCTTTCTACATTGACTCCGGGCTTTCATACAAGCCCTACCAGGAGTTGCTAGGGATTCAACCTTCTGCAAATCTTAGGAGTATCTCCAAACATACAGAGATCTCCCCCTTGATTCTCCATGAAGCCATTTTGCATATAAAGTCATTGGCGCCGCCACCCCAAGTTCAATATTAGAAGGAGTGATAACGTAATGGAGAGACGGAATCAAGAGCACATTTGCAGCATCTTCTCCAAACACAGAGCTCAGAGCTCAGCCAGGCGTGGACAATTATCCGATACTTCAGTCTAATGCTACCCAAGCCAGGTACACCCTATTCTGTTATAGACACTTCTAATCTCAATCTCAACGGCTGTACAAGTTTCAAGTGGTGGACGAAAACCAAATCGCCACATCCACATTTCTTTTCTGGAACTGGCGTGCTGCCTGGGCTCACGTGAAACCAAATCCTAAAATCATGATTCTGATCCATGGTTCTGCAAAACAACAAAGGGGAATTTTATTTGGATAAAAGTAAGGGCTTAAGGATTTGGAGGCAAAGTGTTTCTGCTGCAATCTGCAGCTGCGTTCAAAACAGAACGGAATATAGCTCAGTGCTTCTATAACTTTGATCACCTGCACAAAAGAGTTACCCGCTGCTGCCTTCAAGGTGAACAGAGAAGAATCGAAACCAAATGTCCCACCTGCATGGAGTAAATGTCATGGGAAAGCGGGGAGAGAGAGAGAGAGAGAGAAGAAGAAACAGCAGTGAGCAGCCCCTAAGCTTTCCTATCCTTCTTACGTGAGCCTTATTCCAAAGAAAAAGGCAATGAAACCGAGAACATGGCGATCTGGCAAAAACTTCAAGATGTGCAATTTAGGACACAGGTGCAGAGGGGCCGACCGAGTCGCTATTCAATCGCAGCAGCAGTAGGGGGAGCAAGAGCATTTCCAGAATCTAAGTTTTGTGTTTTCTTTTACTGCATTATGCATCTGTCACCTGCAGTGCTTGATGGAAATAAGGCTTAGAAAAGGAAGAAGACATTAAGGAGAGAGAGAAACATTAATAAGAAGCCATGAAATCTTCAGAGTGAGAAGATTAAGGGCCATGTAGCCAACTGGAATGGGACACAGGTGACGCTGTGGGTTAAACCACAGAGTCTAGGACTTGCCGATCAGAAGGTCGGCGGTTCGAATCCCCGTGACAGGGTGAGCTCCCGTTGCTTTGTCCCAGCTCCTGCCAACCTAGCATTCAAGAGCACGTCAAAGTGCAAGTAGATAAATAGGTACCGCTCCAGCGGGAAGGTAAACGGTGTTTTCGTGCGCTGCTCTGGTTCGCCAGAAGCGGCTTAGTCATGCTGGCCACATGACCCGGAAGCTGTACGCCGGCTCCCTCAGCCAATAAAGCAAAATGAGCGCTGCAACCCCAGAGTCAGCCACGACTGGACCTAATGGTCAGGGGTCCCTTTACTTTACTAGCCAACTGGAACAGGGAGTACATTCAAAATGGCACAGGTGGAAGTAATTTTTTTAAAAAAATTCAAGGACTATCCTTCAATGGGCTGTATTATTCATCAAGTAGAAAAATATCATTTCCTAAGCATTGTTCCACCACACCATTATTTGCTAGACTTTTAGCTCTTTTTTCCTCTTGGGAGCTCAGAGCAGCTTCCACTGGGCTCCCCATCAGGCCCCCATCTGAGGCAGTGCCCAGGGCCAGACCTCCATGCAGTGTGATCCTAGCCATGTCTACTCGGAAGTAGGCCCACTGACATCACTGCACATTCTCGCCATCTGTGCATAAGTCTATTGTTCTAGCCAATAGCCATGACAAATATGAGGGAACTGTTAGACCAGGGACGGGGAAACTTTTTTCTCTCTTGAAGGTCGCATTCCCACATGAGTAATCTGCTAGGGGTCACATGCAGGTGATGAGCTTAGCCAGAGTCAAAAGTGGGCAGAGTACTCCTTTGCTCACTCTCTCTATACTTTAGTTACACAAATTAATTAAATAACTTACTTAACAAGGTAAACAGAGGACAGCAAGACCATATAACACCGGTCTTGGAAGACCTAAATTGGCTCCCAGTATGTTTCCAAGCATAATTCAAAGTGTTAGTGCTGACCTTGAAAGCCCCAGATGGCATGGTATACCTGAAGGAGCGTCTCCACCCCCATTGTTCAACCCAAACACTGAGGTCCAGCTACGAGGGCCTTCTGGTGGTTCCTTCACTGTGAGAAGTGAGGTTACAGGGAACCAGGCAGAGGGCCTTTTCGGTAGTGGCGCCCGCCCTGTGGAACACCCTCCCATTAGATGTTAAAGAAACAAACAACTATCTGACCTTTAGAAGACATCTGAAGGCAGCCCTGGTTAGGGAAGTTTTTAATGTTTGATGTTTTATTCTGTTTTTAATCTGTTCGGAGCCGCCCAGAGTGGCTGGGGAAACCCATCCAAATAGGTGGGGTATAAATTATTATTCTTATTCTTATTCTTCTTCTTCTTATTATTATTATTAGACACTGAACTGCAGCAGAATGGAAACAGCACCAATTGTGACGTTGGAATGTAAACTTCTGCTTTCTTTAATTCCTACTTGCTACCCACATGAAATGAGGCCAATGGCTACGTGTGGCCTTGAGTCCACATGACTCTGGACTAAATGATCCTTTCCAGCTATATGATTCTTAGTGGTCTGAGCTGTTCCTTTCCTTACTGGTGATATTCTGGACACTGTTCCCATTAATCTATCGGCTGTTTCAAGTCCACACCTGTCCTAGGCCAGCCAGTCCATTTGATTACAGCAGTGTTTCCCAAACTTGTCTTTCAGTCTACAATTCTACAAACTTGTCTACAATTCCCAACAACCTTGACCACTGGTCTTGCCAGCTAGGGATGATGGGAGTTGTAGTCCAAAACAGCGGGAGACCCCAAGTTTGGGAAACACTGGATTACAGTAATGAACTGCAGCATGTCCAGCCCAGCACTTAGATTTCTTTCTCCTTCGTAATCCAAAAGGCTCTCCTATCATGTTGTAGGAGATGAGCACTGTGAGGCGGCTACTGAGTACGACTTAAGCCCCATCTGCCCTTCCCTGCCGCCCAAGAGGATAATCAAGCGTCATTGACTTGCCAATTATTCTCCTTTGCTCATGAATGGGAATGGATGTTGTTCGCACTTGTTGTTTGTTATCCAATTAATCTACACGCACTGGCTGCGTTCCAGCGAGTAAGTACCGCAAGAGCAGCCAAGAATTTCAGACTGCTGGCGACATAACCACAGTGCTTGTGGTTCTTTGCCATCCGTCCTTAGCCATGGGATTTGACTGCACACACGGCTCTCTGGATTGCAGCAGCTGTGCACTACATCACTCCTTCTAATGCCGAACTCAGTCCCAGCACGATGACAGCTTTGCAGCCAAACAGAGCCACTGAGCAACAAGGCAATACCTGTACGTTTGGGGGAATCTCACAGTTTGGAGAAGTATAAACAAAACCTTTATTAAAAGGGAGTGAGAGAGAGATACCCACCTTTAAGCGACAGCCCACATCCCTGCAAAACAGAAAGTTGCATGGAAGGAAGGAGAATGGGGAAGAATGAGGAATGGTAAATACACACATATAACCCAGTTCTTGACCACCTCATTCTGTTAAGCTCAGATGACCAGATAGGAGAAACGGATGAAGCTGGAAGGACAAGAAAATAAGATGAGGGGAAAAGGCTAAAAAGCAGGTGGGAGTTGGAGGGGCTGAGAGTGGGAGAGGTGAAGGAAGTAGGAGGGATAACTGGAGCAGATATGAGAAACAGTGGAGGGGTGGGGCAGAGCAGAGGAGACAGAGGAGGGAGGACACAGAGAGCAGAAACCTCTCACCTGCAACCTGGCAGTTGATGGTCACGTTTGCACCCAGGATGGTTTTCACGGTGCTCCCAATATCAACAGTGACAGCAGGCAACTCCTTGTTGACCAGTGTAGCTCTTGATGTCTTTATTAATGGCTTCCCTGTAAGCAGAAGGGATTGCGGATTATTAAATAGATAAGGGAAGAAGCAAGAAAATAGTGCAAGGAATTGGCACAGTCTGTATTTTGTCTCCTGGCTGTCACTGACAGCTCTCGATTAGGACTCCCATTTCCTTCTTCCCCCGTCCTGCAAAATTTAGTATGATGCTAAAGCTGTGGTCTAAGCCACTGAGCCTAGGGCTTGCTGATCGGAAGGTTGGCGGTTCGAATCCCTGTGACGGGGTGAGCTCCCGTTGCTCGGTCCCTGCTCCTGCCAACCTAGCAGTTCGAAAGCACGTCAAAGTGCAAGTAGATAAATACCGTATTTTTCGCCCCATAGGACGCACCTTTTCCCCTCCAAAAATGAAGGGGAAATGTGTGTCCGTCCTATGGGGTGAATGCAGGCTTTCACTGAAGCCTGGAGAGCGAGAGGGGTCGGTGCGCACCGACCCCTCTTGCTCTCCAGGCTTCGCACAGATCTCCGCAAGCCGTGGGAGCCTGCGCTGGGCTCTCACGGCTTGCGGAGAGTTGCCTGCATGCCGAAGGCTGGGTGCGCTGAGCTCAGCGCGCCCAGGTTTAGCGTAGCTCTCCGCAAGGCGCGGGAGCCTGGCGCTGGGCTCCCACGGCTTGCAGAGAGTTGCCTGCATGCCGAAGTTGCCTGTTCTGGGGGCTAGGGTCGGGGGAAGCTCGGGCTTCCCCCGCCCCAGCCCCGTGCCTGGGGGGGAAATACATTTCCCCCCCTTTATTCCCCCCCAAAAAACTAGGTGCGCCTTATGGGACGGTGCGCCCTATAGGGCAAAAAATACGGTAGGTACTGCTCTGGCGGGAAGGTAAACGGTGTTTCCGTGCGCTCTAGTTTCCATCACGGTGTCTTGTTGCGCCATAAGTGGCTTAGTCCTGCTGGCCACATGACCTAGAAGCTGTCTGCAGACAAACATTGGCTCCTTCGACCAGTAAAGCGAGATGAGCTCTGCAACCCCAGAGTCATTTGCAACTGGACTTAACTGTCAGGGGTCCTTTACCTTTACCTTTTTAAAGAGTCGCAAGCCTTCAGATGTTCTGCTATATCTTTCATCTTACAAACTGTCACTTTCTTCTTCAATTTTCTCTCTCCCTTAAGTCCGGTCACCCTCATTGGTGGGCAGTGTTGCGGCCAGGCCCCGGACCCACAAGTGATCCGACAAATGGCAGTCCGGATCGCTTGGCTGCTGGCTATTGGCCAATGCCACCAGCCCTTAGACAGGGCGTTCCCCTGGCAGAAGGCCCAACCGGCAAATGCGGATGCTTGGGCTCACTCCCAGGAGTTGTTAAATTGCGGTCTGTTGTGGTTTACCCTTAGACACACTCCCAGCAGATGGGCTGGAGTGGAATAGCAACGGTTTTACCCAATGCCTATCCCAAACCATTCTCTACTGTAACCAATAAAGTTGTGGCCATATTCAAGCCCAAAACCCAAAATGCTGCTGTCCTGTGTGGTTATTCATTTCCCCTAGGGAACTGTGGGGTCACGGGGTCTTGGCATGTAAAACCTTTTAACCTGCTTTGTACAAAGTAGCCCACTCAGACTAGACCCTTCCTCTTTTGGAAGGAATTGCTCCTGATCATGCACAACCTTATGTACTTGCAAACTTCATCTCAATGTCATCTCTTTCCCCCACATTCCCCGTCTGACAGCTATGTGCATGGATACAGGTGTGCAAAGGCAGCACTATTTTGGAAACAATTCGAAGCATACAATTGGGAGAGAGGGGAGCATGTACACAAATGGAGGATGCATAGAGATAATTTTGGGGGCAGCAAAAGACAAAAAGAAATGAAATGGAATAAAATGGAACCAGTAGCCCCTGGCATGGTAAAACATGCCCTGAGAATCTTGGCAGCTCTTATACGATTGAAAACAATATGGTGGTGTGTAAACTGGAGCATGATAACTGCTCATTCAAATGTCAAATCCTACCTAAGTCTTTATTCTCTAAGATTAATGTCAAAAATCCTCTTGAACAGGAGAGCAAACTAGACAAATAGAAAGCCAGTTGCAACAATAAATGAAAATGTAACCGAAGCTGATATTTGCTTGACTATTGCCACAATCCTGATGTCTCACGTATCTGTATACACATTCAGGGCTTCCTCCATAAAGTTAAGTTTCATTCTCCTTGTGCCTTTATTTGCATGTCTCTAGGGTAGGGCCCCAGAAGCTGGAGAAATTACCGTATTTTTTGCTGTATAAGACTCACTTTTTCCCTCCTAAAAAGTAAGGGGAAATGTGTGTGCGTCTTATGGAGTGAATGCAGGCTTCAGCTATCCCAGAAGCTAGAACAGCAAGAGGGATTGCTGCTTTCACTGCGATCCCTCTTGCTGTTCTGGCTTCTGAGATTCAGAATATATTTTTTCTTGTTTTCCTCCTCCAAAAACTAGGTGCGTCTTGTGGTCTGGTGCGTCTTATAGAGCGAAAAATATGGTAACATGTGCATCGAAGGGTTAACAGCTGCAAAGTCAGATGAACCACAGAAAACGTTTCATGCTGCTGGGGAGGGAGAGAGGGAAGAGCTCAAAACACCCCAGCCCAAGTGAGACTCCATCTAGCTTACGTTATCTTCTTGTATTGGGGCCAGCCCACTTCCGAAGGCATTAATGTTTGTGAGAGAGCTTCTCAGTGCTGGCCGGCTGCATGCTTATCTCCCAGAAGTGGGATTGTTCATGGGCCAGCAGAAGACAGAATGGATGCCGTCGTGTGATTCCATGGGCCTGGGCCCAAAACAGGAGCCTACAAGGCCTATGAATTAATCCAGCTATAAATCAACAGTGGCACTAAGAGGGGGAAAGCTGGCTAAGAAAGGATGGGTGGAAGAGGGAGGAGAAGGAGGAAGAATTATGGGTGCTTTAGTTGGCGGCAGCAACCAAAATGGTTGAAATCTGGTTTTGTTCCTGTCCTCCTGCCTCTCTGCAGATCCTGCTGCCGCGAATTAAAATCCATAAACTGCCCTGTCAGCTGAAATGGACTCATGTGGAATAGGCAGCAAGCTAATCCACGTATTTTGAGAGGATGCCATGAAGCTCTGATGCTGTGCAGATTCACTTTCAGTAACACTTTTTGTACAGGGGCAGGACTCTAGTGTCCCTGAGACATCAATGTAGAGCAGCATATCCAAGCACAAACATGTTCCATTCAGTCATGGAAAGTTCACCAAGTTCTGATGTTTTACAGGGTGCTCCTAAATCAAGGAGGAGGAAAGAGAGACCTCAAATGGCAATTGGCCTTTTAATTTTTCCTGGTGGTTTCTTCTTCTTCTTCTTCTTCTTTCACGATCTCTTCGTTAGATTAAATATCTGTCAGCTGCTCAGCCCATAAAAAGTAGCAAACTACTCCAAAAATGGAACCACATTTTCTCTCTGGGCCCTCATGTGCTAAATTAATCAAAGAGGCTGAGTGTTTCATTTAGACTGCACAAAGCTTACCCACTTCCTCTGCAGAAAAGTTCTGGGCTCCACTTTTGAAAGAAAATGTGTGTGGTTTATTTTCCTCCTTCCTTCTTTTGGTTAATTGCATTTTCATTATCTCAAACTTGGTGTCCAGATTTCCAGCAGCTGAGTGACTGGGCACTTTCAACTCCTGCTTGATGGATGAGGCTATTCAGAACCTTGCTTCAAGTAGTGTTGTCTCTTGAAAATATGACCCAGAGGGCCTTGCATTTGCTAATTTGTTTGCATGAGAAAATGAAATCAAGACATGGAGCATTTTATTAGAAAAATGATTGCTGGTTGCTGAAAACCCAAAGGCATATCTATCTGTTTCGTGTATTCCCCTCTCCCGGCTTTTTCGGGAGACAGTGATTGATTAGCCTCCGTTGGATGAAAACTGTGACTTGAATGAAGAGGCTTTCTTCCAAAACTGTATTCTATACTTATAGCCTTTGGAACTTGCCCATCAGGAGCATAACTGGCTGCAAAGGCTCTCTGCAGAATGGATTGTTATGTCCCGCCACAATATGCTAAGCCTGAAAACTCCCATGTTAAATCCATTTTTGATACCATTCCATTGTTGATAGGAGAGTTGCATAACAGATGAATTATTCCAGTGTTTTATATTACAGTGAAGTTTTTTTTAAAAGAGTCTACATTCTCCTAATTGCATTAGTTTTTCAAGGAGACATAACTGTACTGATTTTCAATGGAAATATTCCAAAAGTAGGCACGAAGCACGCAGAGAGAGAGAGAGAGAGAGAGAGAGAGAGAAAGGAAGGAAGGAAGGAAGGAAGGAAGGAAGGAAGGAAGGAAGGAAGGAAGGGGGGGATGCATTTGGACATAACACAAAACCTGGGTTGGGAAACCTTAGACCAGGGGCCAAAGGCAGCTCTCCAAGTCTCTCTCTATAGCCCTAACCACAGTTTCCATCAAAGAAAACAAAAAACTGCTGTTAGTTTACATCGAAGCAGTTGCTTCTGATCCCCTCGTTGCAGCTGGGGAGGCGCCGGGAGCAGGTTTGCTGCATGGAATGTGAACTATGGTTTAGCATTACATCAAAACAAGATAAGCATCATGCTTTATATCAGAGGGAAGGTGACCTTTTTTAAAAGATACCCACACACCTGAAACCTTATGGTACATCACAAGTCCTCCTTCATGGAGAGCATGTGTTGCGGCAGGGTCTAACAAGATATCCCACTTTTGCTGGGCGGGTACAGATAGCTGGCCACCATTGCGATTGGGCTCCCCTTGTCGTTGGGAGGAATTTGATGATGCCATTTTGTGATTGACAGCCAAAAAGTATACTGTATATTCCCTGCGTAGCGTTGAGCTTCCTCTTTTCACTGCGCGCATCGGATCACCTGCCCTCCCTCCCTATGTTCAGGGTTGTTCGCTTGACCTTGTTCTGCCTGTCATGGGGTCATCTGCTTTTGGGGCAGGGGCCCGGTAGGAATTTTGTCCATTTGGCAGATTGGCTGGTGCCATTTGGTTTTTGCCTACTGCGTAGCAAATCATCACAACTTGTAAGGTTGCAGTTAGGCATTGGTCTTATGAATTGGTTGGTGGAGGGACATGGATTGGCTGTGCCTGCCTCTCCAATGCTGCTGCTGCAAGGGTATTCCGTTAAAGGAACCCAGGGGCTCACCATGCTTTTGTCTGCACCCCTGTCAAGGGGCTAGGGCCACTCAAGAGCCCCTGGGAGCATTTGGGGAGAGGTGAGGGCATGGTTCCCAGCTCCATCTCTCTCCCCAAAATGTTTTCCCTTTCTGACTTCACGGGCATGTGAATGTCAGTCTGTCCCCGTGCGGGGTCAGATAGCCGCAACCAATGCCTAAGCAACCACTCACAATGTTTGTGTTTTAATAAAGTTGTGGCCAAAATTATGCCAAAAACCTTAAACAAAAAATCTGTGTAAATTGTGATTTATTGGGGTGGCTTGGGGACCTCGACACACAATTTACTGAGGCTTTAATGTCACCGAATGCACATGAGTGATGGATAATAACCCTGTCAGAAAGAAAAGCTATTGTATTATCTGCTTACTCGTTTTAGCAATCGTCCTACAATGACTCATGTTTAGCCTTTTCTCTTTTTTTGGATTTGTTTTTTAATTTTTCTCAGGATTGCAAAGGAATACTGAATTTTCGCTGAAGGGGTAATTTTTTGCTGGGTGCAAAAGCACTGCAAAACTAGTTTGACTGCTGTTGCTCTGAGTAGAAACTTTACAATATCTGCAGGGCTTTGCACCTCGGAGCCTGGCCTGCTCCACATTTGGGCTTAACTTTTCAAAAACAGAAGAGGAAAAAGGAAGTATTTCTGTGATGACTGCTAGGAACATATTACCTGCTAACGTGACGGCAATGGAAACAGAGTCAGATCCCAACGCATTCGTTGCATTGCAGGTATAGAACCCGACGTCTTCTTCGACAGGCTCCAGAATTTGCAAGGAGTCATCTGGCTGAAGAAGTATCCTGCAGCGACAGACCAATATGTAAGTCTAAGATCCCTTGCCAAGTATGCTATTACTCAGCACTAGCTATTTAAATAAATATATATGCAGAATGACAAGTTACAAGGCCTCATACATTCCAGTTTTGCAGATTCTGTTTAATTAAATAACAAGTTTTTAAATCCAGCAATAACAAACCGCATAAGGCATCTGTAGCCTTCTGTTTTTTAAACTATGCACACATTAACTTTTCAGGTTCTACCTTGATACGACACACTGCTGTGTGCATTGGCTTCCAAAGCAGAGGTGAACGGCGTTGATTTGTTCAAGCCCTACTGCATGTCTCAGTGCCTTGCAGCCTCACCACCGCAGCTTCACAGCACCCGTTAATTGCAATCTCTAGGACTCCGATACAAAGGCATGGTCTTCACCACCCTGTCCCCAAGCCCCAGGACCTGGTGACTACCTCCACCTGTGCCGGTCCTCTGCCTAACCATCATTTTGGTCAATACGGTCACCTCAAAGGTCCACATCATTCTTCCATTTCACCTTTCCCCAGAAAACATGCATATATTTGTTGCCGGGCCTCCAAATATCTGAGGTTGCCTTAGCTAAGTTTCCTCCCTTCCCAGTCTGGGATGCTCATATTCCAAGGCTTCTCCAACTATGTGACTAAATTTGATGCAAGGGGGAGCGAAATATTGGATTAGGGAAATCCTCTTTCAAATGTCATTATCATGTGAATGTTGAAGACTAGGGGGCTGCCAATTTTTAAGGAGCAAATTCCACTGACTCCAGCGCAAGTAGCATCACGATCTCTCCTGTGGGAACTACTGGAAACAGCCCATTAACAACCTCTTGTTTTTCATAGACAATGCTACTTCGAATACCTATACATTCTTTTGAATAATTTCTCCCAGAGCAGGACTCCATCATTTGCTGAAAACCACGCTGCCACTGTTGGTTGTTCTGAGATGGCAGCCCCACTGGCTGCTTCAATCTCGAGCCTCTTAATATTGTATGAGGCAGGGGTTGCCAACTTTTCTGAGCCTATGGGCGTATTTACAAACCAGAAAAACTGTTGTGGGCATCACACACACACACACACACACACACACACACACACACACACACAGCATCCTATTCTTTTGGCTGCAGCATCAGGCTTCTCCCAAACCTAATATCAGTAGAAGGGTGGGAATGAGACCCTACAGGCAACAGGGCAGGCCTCTGCAGGTGGCGCAGGTGTGCCTAAAGGTGCCACTTTAAGGTAAAAGGTAAAGGACCCCTGGACGTTTAAGTCCAGTCAAAGGCGACTATGGGATTGCAGCGCTCATCTCGCTTTCAGGCTGAGGGAGCCAGCGTTTGTCCACAGACAGCTTTCTGGGTTATGTGGCCAACATGACTAAACCGCTTCTGGTGCAACAGAACACCGTGACGGAAACCAGAGCGCATGGAAATGCCATTTACCTTCCCGCCACGGCGGTACCTATTTATCTACTTGCACTGGCGTGCTTTCGAACTGCTGGGTTGGCAGGAGCTGGGACAGAGCAAAGGGAGCTCACCCCGTCGTGGGGATTTGAACTGCCAAGCTACTGATCGGCAAGCCCAAGAGGCTCAGTGGTTTAGAGCACAGCGCCACCCACGTCCCTGGAGCCACTTGGGTGACCTCTGGGTAAAGGAATTCAATCTGAAATCTGGTTGATACTAAAGAAAGGCGCTCGAAGCTGGCCAGAACCTCCCTTCTTTCATCTGATGAAGTAGATTTTTCTCTACCAAAGTTCATGGCACAATATACCTGTTGCTCTTGGTCTGTCACAACTGCACATTTGAATTTTGATTCTGATTTTTTTTTGCTGCTGCAAAATTAGCAATCAGATTACTGGATTTCATGCTTTCTGCTTCCAGTGGAATCTTTCTACGTTGCCTTCTTGTCTATCAGCAGAATTCTGCATACTTGCCAGGAACTGCTGTGTGCTGCAGAGAATTCTGGGGCACGTACTAAAGTGCAAACTCAGCTCATGTAAAACAGGAGGCAAGTCCTACTGTTCCTCACTGTTAACTCTGTATGAACTGAGATTTTGTGCCCCTAGCATGTGGACAGCATTAGAAGGCAGCTTCACACTGCGCATGATTATGCCAGACAAACTCTTTGAGGGAAGATTTTCTACCGTTTAACACTTTCTCATAGATGAACCTGATAAATTTCTGAGGACCCCCCAGCTTGAAAAACTTTATTGTGTGCAGTTGAGGACACATTGGTAGCAGGTTTCTGGGATGTGTGTGTGATGCCTTCCTTTCTATGGAAAAATGTTTTGTGATTCCTGAGGATATATCCGCTCAGCACCAGGAATGAAGAAGGGTAAAAGCACTGTCCCTGGAAACATTCACAAACTGAAAAGAAACTGGAAGGGAGTGAGATTGTGAGTTGACAAATGGCAGGGAGGAAAAGCGTTAAGCAGCCTCTTCCTGTTCCTTCCTTTTGCCTGAAGAATGTCTTAGGCTGCTTTTCATTTAAAACAGCAACACCACACACTGGGAGAAAAAGGCATGCCATTTCTAGTTTAGCCCTGAATTCTTCATTATCTGATTTGCTGACTATCTGAATTCTGTGCCTGCCACCTATGTGATCCTGCGTAATTGCAAGCCTGTGTAAACAACAGCAATACAGTTTATTCAAACTCGAGAGATCACTGGGATAAACCATACTTTGCAAGTGACAAGCAGACAACTAAGATCCAGGGAGTCTAGTTGACTTTTCCAAGACCACACAAGGAAGCTAGTAGCAGCGATCTCTCATCTTTCACATCCCATGGGCCAATTCCAACGTTAATCTTGCCTACTTGCGTTTCGAAATGGCATAAAAGGAAGCAGCCAGGAAAAGGATGGTAATAATAACAATGATGCAGCTATTTGCAAAGTGCGAGATGGGAAGGAGCCTGTGACTCAACTCATACGCAGCCCCTTTGCAGTAAAGTAGTGTAAAGACTGGACCTCCAAACATTTTGGGACTTTTCCTGGCCACGTCTGTTAATACTGTTCCAAAGGGAAAGTAGGAAAATGTAACTTCAGAAGAGGGCCCCAGGCTTCTTCCCAAGCAGCTGGGAAAAATCCCCACATCCCACTAAGTGGACAAAATCATTATTATGTATTAAAAACATTTGTAGCGTATTACATATCCATCATCTTTAGAAATTATCCTCTGTTCCAGGCTTCTCTAGCAATAGTCTCCTGTTTTAACTCAAGGGAATATCTGGCATTTGCAAAACAGGGGAAGCTTCTACAACAGTTATATATGCAAAGCAAAAGCACCCCAATCCCAAGACTACAGAGATCAGGGGGATCTCTTTGAGAGTGGGAAATGCATAAAAAATAGGTGGGGGTGCACTCAGAAACAGACCCTCCAAGTGTCCCTATTTTCCAGAGTTAATCCCGCGGAGCCTAGGGCTTGCCAATTGGAAGGTCGGCGGTTCTAATTCCCGTGATGGGGTGAGCTCCCGTTGTTCGGTCCCTGCTCCTGGCCCACCTAGCAGTTTGAAAGCATGCCAGTGCAAGTAGATAAATAGGTACCACTCCAGCGGGAAGGTAAACGGCGTTTCCGTGCGCTGCTCTGGTTCGCCAGAAGCGGCTTAATCCTGCTGGCCACATGACCTAGAAAAACTGTCTGTGGACAAATGCCTGCTTCCTTGGCCAGTAAAGCGAGATGAGCGCCACAACCCCAGAGTCGTCCGTGACTAGACTTAACGGTCAGGGGTCCCTTTACCTTTACTTTTTTTAATCCCGAATTTACAGAAGTTGGGGAGGCATAGCCAGGATTTATTTTAGGAGGGGGACAGGCTTTATGTTATTGAGGGGGAAGTACCAAGTTATCCGAGGTGCAATTGGTAATTTAGTTAATGTATTTTTGTTTATTTACTTGATTGGGGGCCCCCAGATGCCCCCTTGCCCCCACGGCTGCGCCCATGCATCCAGGGTCTGATTTGATCCTGCAATGTCCCACTTTCCTTAGGACATTCCTAATTTGATTGGAAAAATGTTGCAGGATATGGAGTTGCCCCCCCCCCCAGCCAAGGAGATAAGCAACTCCACAACCTTTAGAAGACATCTGAAGGCAGCCCCTGCATAGGGAAACTTTTTAAATGTTTAATGTTTTATTATGTTTTTATACAGGTTGGAAACTGCCCGGAGTGGCTAGGGAAACCCAGTCAGATGGGCAGGATATAAGTACAGTACAGTCGTACTTTGGTTTTCGAACAGAATGCGTTCCGGAAGTCCGTTCGACTTCTGAAATGTTTGGAAACCAAGGCGTGGCTCCCGATTGGCTGCAGGAGAGTCCTGCAGCCAATCGGAAGCTGTGCTGGACGTTCACAAAGTTCTCAAACTGGAACACCTACTTCCGGGTTTGCAACATTCAAGTTCTGAGTTGTTCATGAACTAAGCTGTTCGAAAACCAAGGTATGACTGTAATGAAATTGTCGTCGTCCTTGTTTTAATTGGGAAAGTGTTGGAGGATATGCAAGAACTTAGGGCTGTATGAGATCATGCTTGTGGAGCAGAGGGTAGGAGCCAAGTATAGAGTCTATATCACTCATAGGAGTTGCTGTGGCATGGAGATTTAGGAGATAATATGCCACAGACCTTGTGTTATCAATGGTGCCTCTGTATCATTCATAATCACACATAAATATACACAGGTATGCTGGACTTGGGCCAAAGGGTTTCCAAGCTTGGGCCTCTGAAAATCTATAGGTGGCCCTAACACACCTCTCTCCCTCTCCCTCCCTCCCTCTCTCTCTCTCTCTCTCTCTCTCTATCTCTCTCTCCAAAAAAGCTAATACTAGAAACTTCCTCAACCCGTTCTTAAGTTGAATTAATGGGGCGGGGGAACTATAGGCAAGGTTGCTTTTCTCAGAAGAAAATTGCAGCAGCTGTTTTACATAAATCGTTTTGCCAGGATGGTGACAGAAAAAGAAATTGGGGGAGTAAAAGAGGATGCAAAAGCTGGAATGAGAAAGCTCATCCGAGTGCAATCAAAGTCTAGTTGCTTACCATGCGCTGATGAGATTTTTTTTGTTGTTTTCCCCTTGAATGAAAACTACTGCCTCATGAACCACAAAGTTAAGGATATTTGATCTCACCCACAGCTCCATGGGTGGCAACACTCTAAAACAAACCAGATTAAGGCCACCCATCAAATACTTTTTTTTGGGGGGGGGGAGCAAACTAGGGAAGGGCAGCGCACACACTCTTCCTTTAAAACACATTTGAAGCACATTTTACTCCTCAAAGAATTCTCGGCACCCTCATAGAGTAACAATTCCCAGCCACCCTTAATAAACTACAGTGGCCAGAATTCTCTGAGGAGTAAAAATGTGCTTCAAATGTATAGTGTGTACGCTATACAAGGTTCTGTCCCACCAAAAGCTATGTTGACCTTCCTATTGCTCTGCAACATGTAGGAGGTAAAAAGGATCTTGCCTTACATATTTAGGAAGGCTTTCGACTTCATCGAAAGAGGCCCGGGGTCTTCTTAAGTATACCATAAAGAAGAGGGTCATTCCTTCCTCCAGAAAGTGTAACCTTCAAGACGCTACACGTCTATTTAGAAACCAGCCTCTGCAAAACTCACATTTGTGTGGACAAAATACCCTTTTCGTACACAGGTAGGTGTCTGCTGGTTCAGCATCTGAATAGCATAGCACAGTCATGAACAAGGTCTTGAAAATGAGTACTCAAATAGTTAGGACTGCTTCGCACGTTGCATTTTGAGGTGTACACCTGAGATGCTTTAGGCACACACCTAAAAATGCACAACTTGAATGGGATAAATCATTTGTAAACTGACTGCACTTCCAACTTGACTGTACTCTTTGTGGTAACCCCAAGTTTGCCTCTACAAAAAGAAAAAGAAAGGTATGAAATGGTACCATGGATGATAAGTAAAGGTAAAGAGACCCCTGACCATTAGGTCCAGTCGTGGCCGACTCTGGGGTTGCAGCGCTCATCTCGCTTTATTGGCCGAGGGAGCTGGCGTACAGCTTCCGGGTCATGAGGCCAGCATGACTAAGCCGCTTCTGGCGAACCAGAGCAGCACATGGAAACGCCGTTTCCCTTCCCGCTGAAGCGGTACCTATTTATCTACTTGCACTTTTGACGTGCTTTCGAACTGCTAGGTTGGCAGGAGCAGGGACTGAGCAACGGGAGCTCACCCCGTTGCAGGGATTCGAACCGCTGACCTTCTGATTGGCAAGTCCTAGGCTCTGTGGTTTAACCCACAGCGCCACCCGCATCCCTTACTATGGATGATACCGAGAGGGAAAATGCGTTATTTATCTAAATTGAGAATCACAGAATTGTAGAGTTAGAAGGGACCTCAAGGGTGATCAAGTCCAACCCCCTGCATTGCACGTATCTCCTCACAGGGCTCATTCAACTCTATTGAGAGCACCTCACCCCAAGAAGTTGCCAAAACCTGGAACCAACTATTTGCTCCCTAACAACAAAGCACTATATTGGTGCACATACGCTACTAAAGCACATTTACTTGCAGTGTGGGATCAAGATACAATTTTCTCTTGCTTGATATCAAGTTTAATCCTTGTGTGGGCTTAATGAATATCAATTTATTTTTAAAAGCATGACACACACACAAATACCTATACACCACACCACAGTAAGTTCAAACAGAATGTGTGTATTATTATTATTATTATTATTATTATTATTATTATTAATCATTTTATGGGCACTTTCCCAACAGGATGTAACCACTGGCTATGCAAATCTGTGCATGCAACTCTCTACAGGCCAGAAAGATATTTTTACAGGACGATGTCCAATCAAATATATATACCATAGGCCTATTCTTGATTAAGACTGCATGTGCTTTTCATAACAAATACATTCCTGTTCTTACATTGAGGGTGGGAGAGTCACACACGTTTTGCTTTTAGTGGTAAAAATCAAATGTATCATCTGCCAGGGAAATAACAACAATAATAATGAAGGAAAATGCTGTTTTAAAAAGCAACGATGCTGCAAATGCTAGTAAATTGCAGAAATCGTTGCATTTGGAGAGCTTCTAGCCGCAGAAAAGGGAGAGCAGCAAGCAAGCTAATTCTGTATCTAAACCGCAAGCGATGAACTGCACCTTGGATAAATCACTAACTTGCTAGATCCTTGACAGAAACAGCCATTTAAAATTAATTTTAGCTCTGAGAGTTGACTCTTGTGTGCCTTCTCATTTCCTAGGCTGACCCCGGTGACCGGACTCGGATATTTAACCTCGGGCCCATAACTTACGCATAGAGGAAACATGTACTGGCAGCAGATTCTTGGATGGCTGCCTTGTAAATACGTCAACTATTGCAGATGCCTCTGAGCACACTAGCAGGTCTTAAGCCGCTCTCTCGTATGGCCACCCAACCCTGTGCATGCGTAGTGCCACAAGTTAACACACAGCTGAATGCATAGCGAGGATACAAGGCCCCAGATACATGATCAAATATCGCCAACCGCAAGAAAACGACACAGAAAGGAGTTTTGCTTAAAAAACAAAAACATTCCCCGTTTTCTGCACAAATTAGAAGCTGCCTTGTACTGGGTTCTCTCCCAACGACTCAAGCCCCCTTAAAACAATGGAAAGCAAACTATTAACAGTCTATAACTTTTTTCATTTTCTGCCAGAATTTGCAGGACTGGCTACTTCCATCTGAGTGAAGTGTGTCAAATTTTAGAATTTATAGCTGCAGAATTTACTGTTCTGGGATGAGTGCTGTCGGAATCAAAGGGAAGGCATGAAACAAAGAACACGGATCCTCAGGAAATACTGTGGTGGCAGAAATGTAACCCCTTCCAGAAATGACCCTGTTACCCCAAGTGGTGGGGGTAGGCTTCTAGCTCCCCAGGTTTTCTTGCGCTACAGTGGGGATCTCCCCATTGATCTCTCCATAGGGGAAGGTATTGATCCATGCACTGAATAATGAAGACAGGTTTTAATCAGTATGAGCCTGTACATTTCTGAGGTCGTCACATGGACAGTACCACTCCACACTGTGTGTGCATGCTTGCAAAATGTGCCCCCAGAACAGGAACTGTGAACATCAAAGGATAAATACTAAAACAGGAAAGTGCATAGCTTATTCCTTGGGAAGGTAAAAACAACAGAATTTGTTACCTTTTGCTGAACTGCACCACCTCTCCATTCTTTGCCCAGCTAATGGTGGGCTTTGGGTTCCCAACCGCCTCACAGTGAAGAAGCACACTTAGTGTCCCGCTAGCTAAAACGACAGTATGTCCGAGATGGGTGACCACTTCGGAGGCGGAGAGCTGCTGTGCCGCAGATATCTTCTTGAGAATGGCAGGCTTTCTATGAGGCCCCCGCGAGCCGTTTGTCAGCTCCGGTGATAAGGACAAGTGGGCTTCAGCCGAAGACGTTCTCAAGGAGCTGGTGAACTCGGAAAAATACTTGCTGAACGGGACCTCCACTGAAGCAGAACTGACCCTGCTCCCTTGAGTTTTGAAAAGGGACTCCTGGTGTTCCAAATGGCTCTTGAAAATTTCGTGGGCCAACTGCGCAACCAGCTGCTTGCTATAGACATCCTGAACTTCCTCTGGCTGTTGGGACAAGTTTCTCAGGATGTCGTCCAAACGATCCTGGCTGGCAACCATGGTGAAAGGAAGGGTGTACTCCTGGCCTTGATCTTCCTCGGAAGAGATGTTTCTCTCTGCAGAGTCCTGAGCTTCCCATGGCTCTGGGTGGTCGTGAGGCCATCCTCTGTACTCCAAAAGCCTGGAGACAATATCATCGTACCGGCTGCTAGGGTCAGTAAGAAGCCCCCGTTTCTCAGTTTTGCTCCCGTTGAAGAGGATTCCGTTCTGATGCTTCTCCTGGGCGTGCAAAGCTTCGTTCAAGCTGGCCTTCCTCGTGGCTTCTTCTTCTTTCATCATCCCAAGTGACAAGGCGGCCATGCGCTTGTTGTGGCCTCCTATGAGCTTAATCACAAAATGCTCCCGAGCCAGCCCTGCTGTGCAGGTGTAAGTCCCCGTATCGGAGGGCTTCAACCGATGAATTTTCATATATCCATACGGAGCAATAGTCACGTGAGCCGAACTGATGAGCCGCTTGCCATCTTTCTCCCATGTGATCATTGGCTTCCGGAACCTTCTCACGGGGCACCTGAGGATGACGGAGGTTTTGGGGAGAAGGTAGGCGTACCCGCCAACAACGAAGTGCAGCTTTCTCTGTTTCCTTGTTTGGATGAAGACTTTCTTTTGAGCCATGATCAGAGGGGTTTGCTTGTGAGATGGCCTCTGGTGTCCTGAAATGTAATTAATAATGTTTGGAAATGGAACCACATCATCTCTCCATTCGCAGCCTAGCAAGTTCGGGTGGAAACTAGAATTGGGTTATTCCCTCTCTCCCATTTTGTTCCAGTTCATCTGTGATATGCTGTGATCAGATTGCGCACTTCCTGTTTTACTTCCACAACATCGGCTGTTGCTGTGGCAGGAGGCAGGAAGGGCCAAAGAGAGCATGACATGATCTCCGATCTGGTGGAACGCTCTGTCACAAGAGACTAGGGCCCTGCGGGACTTGACATCTTTCCGCAGGGCCTGCAAGACAGAGCTGTTCCACCAGGCCTTTGGCCAAGGCACAGCCTGACTCCCTCCTTTGGTAATTCTTCACAGAACTCTAGCCCAATGGTTGCCATTAATTCGATTTGAACTGATTTTAGAATGAATTGATTTTAGAATGTTGTATTATTTTACTGTTGTTAGCCGCTCTGAGCCCGACTTTGGCTGGGGAGGGCGGCATATAAATAAAATTTTATTATTATTATGTATTATGATAAAGGTAAAGGACTGTTAAGTGCAGTCAAAGGTGACTATGCGGTTGTGGTGCTCATCTCACTTTCAGGCCAAGGGAGCCAGAGTTTGTCCACAGATAGCTTTCCTGGTCATGTGGCCAGCATGACTAAGCCAGTTCTGGTGAAACCAGAGCAGCGCACAGAAACGCCGTTTACTTTCCCGTTGTAGTGGTACCTATTTATCAACTTGCACTGGCGTGCTTTCGAACTGCTGTCAGGAGCTGGGACAGAGCAACAGGAGCTCGAATGACATATCATGGGGTAATACACTATATCAGGCATCCCCAAACTCGGCCCACCAGCTGTTTTGGGACTACAATTCCCATCATCCCTGACCATCGGTCCTGTTAGCTAGGGATGATGGGAGTTGTAGTCCCCAAACAGCTGGAGGGCCAGATTTGGGGATGCCTGCACTATATCATGGCATGGGGCATTACACTCTAATCTAGGAGAGAGGAAGGAAAATCAGCACGGAGGTATCATTTTCAGTAGCACCTCAGTGTTGTCCAGAAATGTCATTTGCACCTCATCAAACAAAATAAACAGCTTCTTTTTGGCACTGGCTGTTATTTTAGCTATTATGATTTACAGCAAATAGGTGGGTGGCAGCTGCAGCCCCTCCCCCAAATCAGAAAACAGCAATGCACATCCCGTTGCTGAAGATCTTTCCATGAAGGAGCCCATCTAATGAATACAAGGAAGGTGCGAAAGAAAAAAGGGGAACTCCCCTTGTTAAATGTTCATCGTTACAGCCCTGTGAGGCCCCACAGCTGAGAGCAGCAAGGAGGAATAAATGCAGTGGAGTCTCGAGGGTGTAATGTGAAGCAGAACAAATCTAGTTTGAGCGGGTTGAAAACCCCACGGTGGATAATATTAGACTTCATTAGTTATGTGGGTCCCTGCAGTTCAGATCTCTGTGCCAGACAACTGAAAAGAATATGAGGACTGGGTCATGGATTTTGAAAATAATGTTACATTTTGCACTTAGAAATCAAATCCCAATGTAGCATTTATGAATGGCCCATCCATGTATAAATCACAGCTGTTGCAAACTTATACAAACAAGCCCCCCAATTCTTTCCTTCTCACTGTACTTCTCCATTTTTCAGGCAAAAGTTATGATACATGAGTAGCGTACTAATCTTAAATGACATTATACTAAACACACAGGGCGACACCCACCATTTCCTGATCCCCCCTCCCATATTTTTTTGAGGGGGGGTGCACTGAGGGTACAAGGGATGGGTGGAACAGTTCTGCCAATGAGGGACGCTGTTAAACATCACCCACAAACCTCTGGAACGCTGAACCCGATTATTACTGTTTGGAAAGGGACCCCCACCCTTCTGTATCTTCTTCGCGGAAAACAAACAAGCCCTGGGAATTTCAGGCACAATTGAATACAACTGCAATGTTATGAAAGTTTTATCATTTTGAAAACATGGAATCCATTTGCCCCAAAGTGATTAGAGGGCATTTTCTCGCTGAATCAAACCCTGAGACAGCACAACCAAATATCAGGGATGGTGACAGCTACAGTCCAGCAATAGCCACAATAAGGTCTCTCTCTCTTTTTGGTCCATAATTCACCCACATCTATATTTGCAGACTCCCAGGGTAGACCATGGACTGTGTCACAAGCCACCTTGCCATTGATTCAGATTTCTGTGTGTGCATCAACTAGTCATTAAGGCCTTTTCTCAACTTGTTGCCTGATTTTTAAGGAATGCAGGCAAACTATTATGGGAAAGTCTTATGAATGGGATCTAGAGGGCAAATAATCCACTGTGCTGATTGAGTTCAGCCCCTGCTGAACTTCCAGGTGCTTTGCAGTAAATTGTTACTGAATAAAGGGCTCTACAGGACGCGGGTGGCGCTGTGGGTTAAACCACAGAGCCTATGACTTGCCGATCAGAAGGTCGGCGGTTCGAATCCCCGCAACAGGGTGAGCTCCCGTTGCTCGGTCCCTGCTCCTGCCAACCTAGCAGTTCGAAAGCACATCAAAGTGCAAGTAGATAAATAGGTACCGCTCCGGCGGGAAGGTAAAGGGTGTTTCTGTGTGCTGCTCTGGCTTGCCAGAAGCGGCTTAGTCATGCTGGCCACATGACCTGGAAGCTGTACACCGGCTCCCTCAGCCAGTAAAGCGAGATGAGCGCTGCAACCCCAGAGTTGGTCACGACTGGACCTAATGGTCAGGGGTCCCTTTACCCTTTAGGGCTCTACAAACTCCTGTTTGGTCACGGAGATGCCGCAAACCCTCAGAATTCCCACTCGCCCCAGTTGCTTTTCTATACTCACTTGCACAGGTTGCTACTGCACATGGCCTGACCAACGATGAGAACGGCAAGGGCGGGCACAGCGATGAATTGATGATGGCAGAAAGCCCGGTGTTTAGCATTTTCCTGCAAATAGCATTTCGCTTCTGGGTTCCCTCACCACAGCTCACAGAACACTAGGCAGAAACAAGAACTGATTAGGAAGGTCACATGTTAAAAGACAACGAGGTACAGAGAAAAGGGTGCATGGACTGTAATCTCTTCCCGTGACCACTATGCTTTAAAATATTAGGGTGCATTACTCTGTACAGAAGGGAACTCCCCTTTGCAGATTTTTGTGGACTCGGTAATGCTCATACATGTAAGGTTTTCACAATATCCACAAAACATCAACCTTGTGATAATGGTGTTCTCTGTCTCCACCCACCACTTTAATCCAGATGCACTGTTCATGGTTTTGGTTGTTTGTTTTAATTGGTGAAATATACTTGGAGTCGCGTAGTGATTTCATGCTCTTTATTGCAGCTCGTAAACAGTGAATTAATTTCCCCCAAAACCTCAGGCTTTATATACATTATTTACACAATGGGTCCCGTGTGACTGGCTGACTCTGCTTCCCTCCTGGAGCCTGATAGGGCTGTTCCTGCGGGCCAATCGGTTGTTGCATTCTAGGATCCTACTGACCTAATAGGCTGATTAACTTCCTCCTGGGGCCTGACTGGGCTGCTCCTGCAGGCCAATCCAGTTGTTGCATTCTAGGATCCTACCTGCCTATTGTTCTAGGATCCAAGCTCAGTATGTAACAACTGGATTTTCCATGGAAGCCGTAAATGCAGATTAAATGGGAAAATAATATGGGAAGACATCATGTGGCTATTGTTCAAACCAAGAATGCATAGTCACAGCTGCCTTCCTGCAGCTGTCTGAACATGGGAAGTCCTACCCATGCCAGCATAATAAGACAGATTCCCATTCCTTTGCTTCTCACCATCCTGTCTTCAGGAAAAGTTAGGTACTCCAGCGGGCAGGCTATGGAATACACAAGATCACTTTGGTGTAACTCATATGCAGGCAACTTAACAGGCCTGCACTCTTGCCAACATCTGCAAAGAACTCCAACGCTGCCTCTTATGTTTTTTGCTTGGGGTGCTGTTCCTGGAAGCGGCTGATGGCTAACATGGCAACAGCGAGTGGGAGGGAGGGAGGGAGAAGCAGACATGATGCTCACATGGACCCCAGTTCAGATTCAGCTTTACACAAGGCAGGGTGGGCAGGTGGCAAGTAAGGCACGGACATTAATAATTATCAAAAGCTGTGGCCCCAGATAACCAAGAGCTATCTAAATCGTAAGACAGATGGATGGGCCCGCTCCATCTCCAATGAAGGACCTACATTCTTGAGCAAAGGTGTCTCCTTCCTTTGGGCCCTGTGCACATGGTTACAGATGCAGTATTATAAACTCTATGTACAGATCCAGTAGCAGCTGCAAGTATCTGGGTCCAGGTTTGCTCTGCTTGCCCTTATGTGGTGTGTGCACCACATAAATAAATGGCTCTTGTTGAATCAGGGCTTTAAAATATAACTTTCTAATACTCGTGCAAGGATGGTTATAGGTGTAAAAAACGGGGTGGGGAGAGACACGCCAAAACGGTCTCTGGTGTAGAAGAAAACAGCCCCCTTTTGAAAAATAATATAAATGCCATTATGCAGAAAGTTGTGTAGCTTTTTTCGTACATTTTGATGAGCAAAATGACTGCCTGAGGAGGGGGGTAGAATGCCTGCTTTAGCCCCATAATGGGTGCATGTCCTAGCAGCTGATTGCATTATACAATCTATTTATTTGGCAGGATAGATCATTATCAATTAGTTAAGCTTCCTCTACAACACACGCGCACACAAACACATCCTGGCATGACGGGTTTCTTTCATCGACAAAGCTATTAACTTTCTCATTGAGTGAAAAAGGGGTTGGCAATGGCAAGGAGAAGAACACCTACTTGGTTTTAGGATTAAGCAATATGCTTTTATATATGTTGGAAGCCGCCCAGAGTGGCTGGGGCAACCCAGGCAGTTGGGCGGGTTGCAAATATTATTATTTTTAAAAAATTATTATTATTATTATTAGGTGCTCCAGACATCCCTTACCTGAAAGCCTTTCTTTCTCTGCAATCACTCGATAATGTCAAACCCAAAGTGCACATGTATTCAGTCGTGGATCATTAAACAAGACTAGAGCAGTGCTTTACGCAAATGCTCTCCTACAAAGTGTTTATTGAAGTTGGCAAGGGCCCTTTTGCAGCCTGAGTATTCTATATTACAAGGCTTGTCAGGTGGTTCCTTAGAGAGAAAATAAGGCTGTGTACACATGTTCGTTTCCTCTGCATCTGCTGGTCTAGGAAGCAAGGCACTCATGGTATTCGCCACCACCTGTATCTATCCTACATTTTCAAATGAAATACCGTATTTTTCACTCTATAAGACGCACCAGACCACAAGACGCACCTAGTTTTTGGAGGAGGAAAACAAGAAAAAAAATATTCTGAATCCCTGAAGCCAGAACAACAAGAGGGATGGCTGTGCAGTGAAAGCAGCAATCCCTTTTGCTGTTCTGGCTTCTGTGATAGCTGCACAGCCTGCATTCGCTCCATAAGACGCACACACATTTCCCCTTACTTTTTAGGAGGGAAAAAGTGAGTCTTATAGAGCAAAATATACGGTACTGCATTTTGATTCATTCCCCTCAAACCAGCTTTGATCAGAATGGAAAAAAAAGACTTATCTGCATTTAAACTGGTAATGTGTACGCAGCCTAAGAAAGGACAGAAAAGTCTTCCTCTGCGGTGTTACAGAAAAGGTGCTGGTTAGGCCCTCTCCAAAGTGTGCTCTAAGTTTGCACAGCATAACTGTGCAGCCCACAAAGCTTTTCTATAATGGATCGCATTCCCTGAAACATGCTCTGAACCCTCCTGCAGCACACACAGGTGTTCTGCTGCAGACAAGGCAATGCGGAAAGGCAGCTGTAGCAAACTTCATTCCAGTTGTTGCTCTTGTTTCCTCTAGCTGCTCAGAGTGCACCTGGTTCCGATGAAAGGCAGACCCCATAATAATAATAATAATTTATTATTTACCCATCTGGCTGGGTTTCCAACAGAACACTAAAATACAATAACCTATTAAACATTAAAAGCTTCCCTAAACAGGGCTGCCTTCAGGTGTCTTCTAAAAGTTTGGTAGTTGTTTTTCTCTTTGACATCTGGTGGGAGGGCGTTCCACAGGGCGGGTGCCACCACCAAGAAGGCCCTCTGCCTGGTTCCCTGTAACTTGGCTTCTCGCAGGGTAGGGAACCGCCAGAAGGCCCTCAGCGCTGGACCTCAATGTCTGGGCTGAACGATGGAGGTGGAGACGCTCCTTCAGTTATACCGGACCGAGGCTGGTTTTGCATAAGTATAGAGCCAATGAACTAGCAACCAATGAATTTGTACCTCTGTGGAAATAACCTGAGCACCAGGACGAACTATCACTCACTCCCTTGCCTGCCCCCAAACCCACCTAGAATGTGCATGATTTACAAGCCATCATCTCCAACTCTTATTATGGAGGTTTTGCAGAGATGTTCCAAATGGAAATGTCAAAATAGAGCATCCCTTCAGCAAAGCACACTGGGGTCTCTACCACCAGCCAGGTGTAATAGGGCTACTAGGAGAATACACCTCACAACTTTCAGGAAGAACATCATGGGAAAAGGGAGACCTATCTGACCCCATCCATTCAGGCTGGTCACTGAGGGCAAATGGGGCACTGCCCAACCAACCTCAGCCTGCCTTCGGTCAGCCCCAACCTACCTGCTTTTCTCCTTACAACCTGCCGAGAGCGTGGCACTGCCAGTCAGCTCCCTTCTCCTTAGTTTCAGTGTTGCCCTTGCAGAACTCATCAGGGAAGAGGATGGGGACAAAACTAGATGTAAGAAGCTGGCTGGATGAGTGAGAGTGGTGGGAGCCAACTGCCCAAGAGCCCCACAGGGAGGACACAGAAAACGACGACTTCGAACCTGGTGGCCAGCGCACCTGGTGGCCAGCAGGGGTGGGGATGGAGGCTGGGCACCCACAGATTTTTTTTTCTGTGGGTGCCTGGGCCCCCAGGACCCCCTGAAGTTGGTGTCCCTGTGGATGAGCGAGTGCCATTGTTCAACTATGCAATGCATGAAAACCACGTTTTTTTTAATCCATCCTGAATCTTCCAGCATTCTGCTTCATTAGATGCCCATGACTTCCTGTGTTATCCTGCCTAGAGCTGATGGTAGTAGTAGTAGTAGTAGTAGTAGTAATAGTAATAATAATAATAATAATAATAATAATAATAATTTATTATTTATACCCCGCCCATCTGGCTGGGCTTCCCCAGACACTCTGGGTAGCTTCCAACAAAAGATTAAAATACCATAGTATATCAAACATTAAAAGCCTCCCTAAACAGGGCTGCCTTCAGATGTCTTCTAAAAGTCTGGTAGTTGTTGTTCTCTTTGACATTTGGTGGGAGGGCATTCCACAGGGCGGGTGCCACCACCGAGAAGGCCCTCTGCCTGGTTCCCTGAAACTTGGCTTCTCGCAGTGAGGGAACTGCCAGAAGGCCCTCGGCGCTGGACCTCAGTGTCTGGGTAGAAGGATGGGAGTGGCGACACTCCTTCAGATATACTGGTATTCACAGTCCCAAACATCCGGAGGGTACCTCATTGGCTACCCAATGCTAGAGACACCCAAGGCTGCGGTTTGTTTGTTTTTGTTTTCTACTGCTACCTCATACCTGCGTCCAGTCTGAAAGAAGCCACTCTGGGGGGCAGTCCTCATTTTGGCAGGCTTGTTGGGAGGCGGGCCTCAAAGTGGAGCAGAATGTTTCTGGAAGCTCCAGGAAACTCCCATCGGCCATGCGCTGCTTGCAGAGCACTTCCCGCTTCTCAAGGCCACCCCCGCACGTCTGTGAACACTGGAGGACAACAGAAGCGGCAGAGGCCTCAGAGCTTGCTGACATTTGCAGCAACTGCCATGCGTCAGGTCGCTTGAATCGCAACTGAAGTGAATGGGAGCAACCTGACTGCGTGTGAGATGGCAGCCATTACATACAGCCTACTTGTGAGAAGAGTGCAAGTTAAACAAACAGCAGAAGCGGAGCTGTCCTTTGGCGCTCTCTTTGCTCAGAAAACCCTCTGTTCAACACCAGGCCCAACCTAACTCCGCAGTCTAATCTGCCACTCCCACCAAATTTTAATTCATGGGAAAGCTACACCCTGGGTCTTCAATCCGCAGCTCCCTATATAATTGGTTTGCAAGGTTAATATAATAAACTACTAAACCACATAGTCCTTTATTTTTATGACTCTTGGTGACTGCTGTGAGCACTGCTTCCAAAAATAAAAGGGGAGGGTTATTGAAGTCAATGTAAGTATGTTAGATTAATTTCTAATGAACCACATCTCCCTCCCTCTTTAAGCTAAATCTTCTCCTGCATACATTCATGCAGGCCAGGAACTAGATTATAAACTTGTATAGAGATTCACTTGACCCAATGAGGCCAGTGAGGCCCTGCTTCTAGCATTTCTTTTTATGCAGAAACCACCAGGTTAAAGAACATGGTACCCATGTTGTGGACTGCAACTTCCACCATACTGGCTGGGGCTGATGGGAGTTGGAGTCCAAAATCCAAGGTACCATGTTAGGTTCCCAAAAGTAAGTTGAAACTGGTTCCATACTCTCCTGGTATGTCCCACAGAGGACCTTACGGTCTTCAAACAAAAACATCTTGGAGGTCCCGGGCCACAGAGAGGTTAGGCTGGCCTCAACCAGAGCCAGGGCTTTTTCAGCTGTGGCTCCAATCTGGTGGAATGCTCTGTCACAAGAGACTAGGGCCCTGCAAGACTGCAGGGCCTGCAAGACAGAGCTGTTCCACCAGGCCTTTGGCCAGGGCACAGCCTGACCCCCTTCTTTGGCAATCCTCACAGAACTCTAGCCCAATGGTTGCCATTAATCTGATTTGAACTGATTTTACAATGAAATGATTTTAGAATGTTTTATCATTTTAATGTTGTTAGCCGCTCTGAGCCCGGCTTCGGCTGGGGAGGGCGGGATATAAATAATAATAATAATAATAATAATAATAATAATAATAATAATAATAATAATTATATTTGCACCTGTCAGTTGGCTAATACCAATTAGTGTCTTGTATGTTAATCCTCGGGAAGACTTATCACATTCATATTTCCTCTGATAAAAAACTTCCTACAATCTTGGTTTCGCATGTTATTATCCCTTTTGGTTCCCAATTACAGAGCATGAGATCAAGCGAGTGAGAGAACTACTCAATGGAGTCCGTTCACATATTCAATTGCAAGGTTAGCAAGCAGTGAGAAATAAAAGGGATGTCTAAGCCTGTACTTGTGAACTAGCTCTATGTCCCACATATGACAATGTGCATAATGAACCGTGAGTTGGAAGGCAATGAAAACAGGCGTGAAGGAGGAGTTGCGTTGTGTGCTTGTCCCTTACAGTCCCTTTGACATTATAGCTCAACCATTTACAAAATGTCTGACGAGGGCTGACATGATATGGGAGATAGACCTACCCACAACAACGGGCTCTTTCTGATGCTTTAGGATGCTACAGTCTCGCATAAAGGTGTTTTAACGCACAGGTGTGTGTGCATAGGTACTTCGCTATCCAATCTACCAGACAAAACACACATACAAAACACAAACAGGTTCTGCTTTGTGAAACACAAAAGGAGCTTTCAAATTATTTGGGGCTAGTTTTTAGAATTATTCGCTGAGTAGTACCTAGAGCAGTAAACAAAGGGAGGCACACAGATAAGATTTCTTTTCTTTTTTGCCCTTGCATTATTATGAATCGCAGCTGCATTATTTATATTGTTGTTGCTATTATTAATGCATCTTTGACACATTTATTTATCCCCCTTTTCTACTCCCCTGTACTGTTTGTATCTATAGCATATGTATTAACTAGAATTATCGGGTGGGTGCATCAGTATGTTTGGGTATGTGAGGAGGGGTAACGGGAGGGAGAAATGAAGGAGGGGGCTGTCGACTGCAGCATAATTTTGTGAAAAAGAAAACCTCAACAAACTACAGTGGAACCTTGGTTCTCAAAAGTAATCCGTTCCTGGAGTCTGTTCGACTCCTGAAACAGTTCAGGAACCAAGGCATGGCTTCCGATTGGCTGCAGGAGCTTCCTGCAGCCAATCAGAAGCCGTGCTGGTCGCTTGGCTTCCAAAGAACGTTCAAAAACCGGAACAATCACTTCCAGTTTTCGATCATCCAGGAGCCGGAACATTTGGCTCCCAAGGCGTTCAGGAGCCGAGGTTCCACTGTATTCACAACAGCAAAAGGTAAACAAACACCCAACAGCTTTACAACTTTAAACTTTTGTAAGCAAAGCAACTAAAAAACAATGACAGTAACAACATATTGTATACAGCAGGGCAAGAGCCTTGCTACTGAAATGCTTCATTATGTGGACTGTCATTCACAGAGCACCAATTCACCGGCTGTCTGAAATGTGCCAAAATTAACAGCGATTATAACTCCCTTCTATGGACAAGTTAATATCTGGTAAGCAGTTATTTTCTACACTCACTCTTGGAATTGTTCACTTACATTGTTAGGCAGTGAGACCAAACAGATGCAGAAGGAAAAAGGAATCATGCTTTCCAAAACTTTAATGGTTGCTGTTGGATCCTAAAGCATTCTAATTTGCTGCATTCAGCAAGGTTTCACCCCCCCCCCACTTCTTCCAAAAATACTGGGAGAAACAGTTTTGAAGGGGCAGGAGAGGGGAAAGAAGCCTTTAAAAATGTTCTGGGACATGTCAGCCCAAGGAACTTTAATAGATATTCTGAAAAGTGAGCCACGGTTTGTTCTATTAAAAGTCCCTTTCCTTCAGCAATAAAGCGAAGATAGAAAAAGATTTATTGATGCAACCCTTTGCAGCCACTTTCTGCAAAAGAGATGTTTACCGGGGCTTATAAAAATGAATTCTGATACCATTTTCTTTGGGGTGGGAGGCGAGGAGAGGAGATAACCCCTCAAAACAAGGTAAACACCCTCACAGCTTTATCCCAAATATGGAACATTTTAAAAATAAAGACTTGAATTTATAAGGATGTATTTTTAATCACTCGAAATGTTAAACATGCTGATGGTTATCTCAGGAGTTCTTCTGCCAAGAACATTAAAGCTTTATTAAATAAATAAATAAAATCTAATTTGGACCATCTTTCCTTATGAGAACTCAAAAGCCGCAGCGAAGAAGAGTGGTAACGCTTATAGCTAAAATATTGTATTCATGTAAAAAGCTGCAGTAGATACAATGAACTTCCCAGAGTGAGGTTTACCCCATGTTGGTGGGGCAACCAAAGAGGGTGTCTATGGGGGCAGTGGGCTTGACTCAAAATCAAAGCAGAAATGAGAGACTGTGTTGATCAGGGGTCAGTAACCTTTTTCAGCCATGGGCCGGTCCCACCGTCCCTCAGACCATGTGGTGGGCCAGACTATATTTTGAAAAAAATAATGAATTCCTATGCCCCACAAATAACCCAGAGATGCATTTTAAATAAAAGCACACATTCTACTCATGTAGAAACTGTTAGAATTCCTGCTCCATGATTGCAGTCATGGGATTGTTGTCTTTCACATGACAGTGTATATTTTCACTCCACAAAGTGGGAAGTGACGGAGACAGGATGTTTGTGTTATTGTGTTCCGTGAAGTGGGACTATTGTCCTGTTTTTCCCCTCTTTGCTGTCTGATGCTAGAGAGGGAGGGAGCCATGTTGCAGTGCTCCGTGTGTGTTTATATGTAAATAAAGTAGATTAGCCCAAATGCTGAGCTGCTGAGGTCTGTCACGCACGATGCACAAACTCTGTGGATCCCTAAGTGTGCTGGTGTCGGTTGGCATCGGTCGCTGTGATGTTCGGGCTGAAGAAAGCTTTTGAAGCTCTCGAATGAACGGCCAGGAGGGAGAGAACATGCCAGTCGGGCATGTGTCTCTGCCAGGGTCCTACTTGAGTGTAGGCCAAGCTCCTGACAAAAACACCAGGCAGGCTCCACAAATAACCCAGAGATGCATTTTAAATAAAAGGACACATTCTACTCATATAAAAACACACTGATTCCCGGACCATCCGTGGGCCGGATTGAGAAGGCGATTGGGCCGCATCCGGCCCACGGGCCTTAGGTTGCCTACCCCTGGTGTTGATCTTTGATGGGGTTCAGAATTTGCACCTTCCCTGTTTGTTGCGCAAGTGGAGGAAACGTCATGCCTTGGTTCACTGAATGAAAGACATTACTTACCTGTTGCCACTCCGAGAGGTACCAGGACGGGGGGCAGTCAAAACGATTGCAGGCTTGCACCTGGATGGGCTGGGGCTTGTGGCACAGCCCATCTGCCAAGATCACCGTCTCGTTGGTTTCTCGCGAGAGGAGGTGAGAGCAGAAGACGTCTCGGGTCTGCAGTCCTACGCCGCAGGTGAGGCTACAGGAGCTCCACTGCCCCATCTCCCACCTGAGGGGGGAAAGCCGAGAAGAGGAAACCGCTGCATCAAAACAAGTTTCCCAAACCTCCTACCAATCTGTCTGCCTTTTCTTTTCACTCTGCATGAGAAACTCTGGAATGGATCCAGCCTACAATCCTATACACCAGGAGTGGGGCATCTTTATAAGAGGCTGTGTTCCCTTCTGGGCACCTCTGCCCCCGGTGGGCAAGGCCAGAGTCAAAAAAGAAATGGTCACAACCATCCAGTCATGCAGAAGTTTTTACACAAACCCAGGATGGCCGTTTACAGAGGCAAACACAAAAAGGAGCCTACTAGTTATTTGAGAAAGGCTGTCGAATCTGGGAAGGTGGTACATGTGCAGCTCCCCAGGGGATGGTATTACTGTGCCATCGGACTGGGAGTCTTCATAAGAGAGATGCTCCAGAGGAAGAACTGTGAGGGGAGAGACTTTCTGTTCATCATTGGCTCCCTACATTGGCACATGCGGGTTGCGATTTGGTGCTTCTGCACATGCGCAAAGAGTGATTTAGCACTTCTGCGCATGCGTGACCACCAAAACCCGGAAGTAACCCATTCCGGTACTTCTGGGTTTCGGCAGTCCGCAATCCGAAAAAACGCAACCTGAAGCGGCTGTAACCTGAGGTACGACTGTATATGAGGACAAGGGAGGCGTTCAGCGTGAGTTCCGGCAAAATAGCACTGGACCCAGCACATGTCAGGGTATCCTGGAGAGGCAGCCCTGTGAATATACACCGGCTCTCTCCCAGAATCTTATTTACTGACCTTAATAAGGCTATTTGAAGGCCAAGGGACTTTATGAGCATTGCCTAAGTTATGATAAACAAGGGGGCTGCTATCACCGCTTTTCTGTGGGACAGCAATGTCACCCGGCTGCCATTTAATCTACAGTGGTGCCTCGCAAGACGAAATTAATCCATTCCGCGAGTCTCTTTGTCTTGCAGTTTTTTCGTCTTGCGAAGCACGGCTATTAGTGGCTTAGCGGCCATTAGCAGCTTAGCGGCTATTAACGGCTTAGCGGCTTTAAGAAAAAGGAAACAAACTCGCAAGAACACGCAAGACGTTTCGTCTTGCGAAGCAAGCCCATAGGGAAATTCGTCTTGCGGAACGACTCAAAAAACGGAAAACCCTTTCGTCTAGCGAGTTTTTCGTCTTGCGAGGCGTTTGTCTTGCGGGGCACCACTGTAATTCAGGGCAAGTCTCCTTGATACACGAACCTTGAATTACAGGTCCCATGAAGTTGTCAGTCGGGATTAATAATGACATATCGGCTACCCTCCGTGCTTGGCACACCTTAGAGGTATTCAGAGTACTTGGTGGTAAAAAACAAACCAAGACCCAAAACCCAAAATAAAACCCTGCCTTTTGTCTCTTCTTTGGAGGTCTATTTCAATGCAGAGCTTATTGCAACACTTGCCAAAGTTTATTCTTCTGGAGTGGGAGGTTTTCCAGTTACCTCCAGCAGCTCATTGTTTATCCGTGGAATAAATGTTCAGCATTCATGTTGGCAAGGAGCAGCCTAGCAGGCCATAAGAAGGAATGCATCCTTTATTTGGCTTCTTTAATAATAATAATAATAAAAGTTCGCAAGTTTTTTTTTAAAAAAATCCTATTTTTTAACTTTGGATCAAAATAAATCCTGTAGCCTTTTAAAATGTTCGGTTTCCCCCTGATTTTTCTAAGTAGAGCTGAAATCGAAGAAAGAAAGGGGGACTTTTAAACAGTTTCCTGATTTAGCAAAGTAGTAGGCATGACTGTAAGGCATCGTTACCAGTTTTTCCTCTGTTTCCATCATAAACATGCACATGAATGAGGATTTTTAGGAGCGAATCTTTGAACAAAAATTGTGTTCGACTGAAACTGGAGTGAAAGGGAGGACCCACAAAATCGTGGTTTTTTGCACAGTAAGCTCCAATCTTCTGAATGGTCGCAGGCATATCAGTTTGGTTGTGCAAGCCTAGCATGTTTCAGAACCAAGTGTGCAGGAGAGATTATCTGATGCAAAGTGACTGGAGAAGGAGGAGGAAGCAGATGATCAGGTGGTATGACGCTACCTTTAGCAAGTGGTCGTAGTTAAAACTTTGCAAAAGCATAGGGAACTCTAGCCCTTCTCTAGATGAAAGACCAACTTAAAATTCTTGGCTCTGACCTCTGTTTCCAAATTGTCAATTTATAAACCCACAACGAACGGCTGCTGGATTGTGGTCTGCAACAGTCTCTTTGCTACCCAAAGAAGCACCAGGAACAGCAGCAGCAGCACGGTGGTTCTTTGCCATTGTTTCCTATGGAAATTTGGCATGCAGATAAATCAAACCTGCAGGAGGAGCTGGCTAGAAGCCCATTCATTTACCCCCCAAGGGCAACTGTTGAAAGCACTAAGCACATCTCCAGACCTGCCACATAACTGCTGGAATGCGATTATGTCTTTTAACCACAAGCAGCTATCTAAAAGGGTTTCAGCTTCTACAAGCGTGCAAAAGGCCAGGAGCAGGAGGCTCCTCGCTTACGCACGGTCTTTAGATGGTTGAAAAATAGAAATGCGCTCAGTCTTCTGTTCCAAGAAGAGAGGAAGGCAGAGGGGCAAACTCTCTTCTCTGCCATAAGGTCAAGTGAAACTCATGGTGTGAACCGATGTTATCATAGGATTGCAAGTTCCCTCTCCTGATTCTAAATCACATGTAGAAGAGGAGAAACTTGCCGTATGATGGAGTGCTGTCGTACAGAATGTTTCTCTAGTCCTTATGGGGAAAGGTCAGATAACTAGACACTGGGATTCGGTTTAAAGCAGCAGTCAAATGTCTTCCAAGCTGCTGTGCTAGTTCTGTCCTGAGCATCTCTACAAGGATTGCTTGTATCCTGCATTTGGCTCCTTCCCATAGAATTGTAGCTATGACACAAAGACCCAAGGCATCTTGAATACTCATTGCTATAGGTCAGCAGCCTGGAGAGAGTCTGGAGTTTGGGACAGGGAATCATGACCAGAGAGCAATCAGGCAAAGAGCAGTTGGGAAAAGGCACACCAGAAAGGCCTGGCTGGAGAACATCCCAGGAGCTAGGATGAGAAGAGGAGCAGAAACACTAGACCAGGCATAGGCAAACTCGGCCCTCCAGATGTTTTGGGACTACTATTCCCATCTTCCCTGACCACTGGTCTTGTTAGTTAGGGCAGTGTTTCCCAACCTTGTGCCTCCAGATGTTTTTGGCCTACAACTCCCATCATCCCTGACTAGCAAGACCAGTGGCAAGGGATGATGGGAATTGTAGGCCAAAAACAGCTGGAGGCACAAGGTTGGGAAACACTGAGTTAGGGATCATGGGAGTTGTAGGCCAAAAACATCTGGAGGGCCAAGTTTGCCTATGCCTGCACTAGGCACGCTAAAGCTCAAATAGACCTAGTTGCTCAAGCAAAGCAAACCTTCTCATCTTCCTTCCTATCCAGATGAGCCAGCGGCCTGCCTCAGTAGGTGGAAGCAGTCTAGATCCAGAAGGTTCTTCCCTGAGAACTGGAGCAGATTGCATGGCCAGGCAGAGATTGTCATGGTCTGGTTCATGGGCGATCGAAGTCCTGGCTGGGGACGTCGGGACTGGGGGCAAGATGGCGGGGTGGGAACAGGAACGGGAGTCCAGAAGGCAGGAGTAGGGAAGCCAAGAGTCTGAGTATCAGAGAGCTAGGAGTCAAGAAACCAAGGGTCCGAGGGTCAAGAAGCAAGGAGTCACAAAGGCAGGGGTCCGAGGATCAAGGAGTCACGAAGGCAGGGGTCCAAGGATCAAGGAGTCACAAAGGCAGGGGTCCGAGGAGCAAGGAGTCAAGGAACCAAGGAACCTTGCTGCAAGGAGCGTGTTGCTGTGGCAAAGAGCTGAAGGGAAATGCTGACCTTATATCCCTTCCCAGATATTGCCACCAGGTGCTGTGAGTTACCAATCGGCCTCTCCTGTGTGGCCGCACCTTGCCTCTTTAGAACAAACTTAGGAAGGCCCCTGTTAAGTTGTGGGCGAACATATCAGACAACACAGTGATTATTCAAACAGCTCTTGTTTATTCGCAGGCCAGAACAGAACTGAACTGAAGGGTTCAGCCAGCCTGCTTATATAGAGCTCCACTAGAACGCAACAGTAATCATTTTCTGTAACTATCCAATCACTGAACATCACTTTCGATCCCTTATTTGCATATGTGGACCTGAACTATCTACAGTATCCCCCTGCTGGCCCAGAGATGTGGAGCCACCCTCTTGCTGCAGCTTCCAGAATGGGGAGAGGCAGGGTAACAGTGAGGTTTGGTTTGCCTGGGCAGGGCTACTAGGCTGGCTCTGGTGATATGGCCACACATCCCTGACTGCTTCCTTGCCTCACGCCCTGCCCAGGTAAGCTGCAGCAATGCTGGTGTCAGGAAGATGGCTCCATGGGTCCACTCCGCCACACACAGGCCACTGCTACCTGAGGTTGCAGTTATGGAACTCACTGCGTGGGGCAGAGATCAGGAGTTCCTGAATATGACTAATGGGAAACCAAAATGTGAAGAAACTTGGCAAAGCCACTTCCGCCCTGTGGAGGAGGTGGGATTGCAGGCTTCACGGCCCAGCCCCCACACGATTGGGGGAATCCCCGGTTGTGTCACCCTCTGGCCAGCCAATCGGCTGGCTCTGGGGGCGTGGCCTGCCCTATTTAAGGTAGGGCTGCTGGGGATTTCCCTCTTTTGCCGCCTACCAGCTGTTCCTGTTTCCCACCCTCCCACCCTATAAGGTTTCATTCCTTGACCTTGCTATGGACCTTGGTTGGTCGCCATTGAGGCGCCTTGTAGGAATTTTTCCACTTGGCAAATTGGCACCAGCCACTTGGTTTTCACCTACCTCGTAGCAAATCGTCACAACTTTCTTGGTATTGGAGGTTAGGCATTGGTATAGTTCTGTAGATGGAAGAGGGGAGGAAACGCCATCACCTGCCCCGCATATTGAAGGGTAGTCTGATAAAGGATTCCAGGGGGCGTGGC